AGCGTGGCAGATGTGTTGTTGCCTACCCTTACCACCTGGGGGCGGCCCGTCAGGAAGTGCAGGATCTAGTTGCAGAGGGAGGTGTTTAGTCCCAGGGTCCTTAGCTTAGTGATGAGCTTTGAGGGCACTATGGTGTTGAACGTTGAGCTGTAGTCAACGAACAGCATTCTCACGTAGGTGTTCCTTTTGTCCAGGTGGGAAAGGGCAGTGTGGAATGCAATGGAGATTGCGTCATCTGTGGATCTTTTGGGCCGGTATTGGAATTGGAGTGAGTCTAGGGTTTCGGGGATGATGGTGTTGATGTGAGCCATGACCAGCCTTTCAAAGCACTTCATGGCTACAGACGTGAGTGCTACAGGGCAGTAGTCATTTAGGCAGGGTACCTTGGCGTTCTTGGGCATAGGGACTAGTGTCCTGCTCCTTGAAAGCTGCAGCTCTAGCCTTTAGCTCAGTGTGGATGTTGCCTGTAATCAATCCATGGCTTCTGGTTGGGATATGTACAGTACCAGTCAAAAGTTTGGACACACCTACTCATTCAAGGGTTTTTCTTTATTTTTACTATTTTCTACATTGTAGAATAATAGTGAAGACATCAAAACTATGAAATAACACACATGGAATCATGTAGTAACCAAAAAATCTTTACCAAAATATATTTTATATTTGAGATTCTTCAAAGTAGCCACCCTTTGCCTTGAAGACAGCTTTGCACACTCTTGGCATTCTCTCAACCAGCTTCATGAGGTAGTAATCTAGAATGCATTTCAATTAACAGGTGTGCCTTCTTAAAAGTTAATTTGTGGAATTTCTTTCCTTCTTAATGCATTTGAGCCAATCAGTTGTGTTGTGACAAGGTAGCGGTGGTATACAGAAGTTGCCCTATTTGGTAAAATACCAAGTCCATTGTCACGAACGTTGACTGATGACTCGTGGAACCAAGGCGCAGCGTGATAAGCGTACATTTTATTTAGTACACAACACACGAACAAAACGAACGATACGTGAAGTCCTGAGGTTACAACAACACAAACCTTTACGGAACAAGATCCCACAAACTAACTGGTGCCAACAGGCTGCCTAAGTATGGTCCCCAATCAGAGACAACGAGCTACAGCTGCCTCTGATTGGGAACCACCCTGGCCAACATAGAACTAAACGATCTAGAACAAAAAACATAGAAAACGAAACATAGAAAATCCACACCCTGGCTCAACATTTAAGAGTCCCCAGAGCCAGGGCGTGACAGTACCCCCCCCCCCCCCCCCCAAAGGTGCGGTCGCCACACAAACACAAGAGGGTAGGGGCCGGGTGGGCATTCCGCCTCGGAGGTGGATCCGGCTCCGGGCGTGACCACCACTTTCTCTCCACCTCCCCGTTGCACCCCTGATCTGGTCTGGCACCGCTGACTGGAGCTGGACCCGACGACGGTGGATCAAACCGTACAGGCTCCGGACTGGAGCCACTGGCCGGAGCTGGACTGGACACCGGTGGAGCGGATTGCGCTGGCTCCGGAGTGGATCCGCTGACTGGAGTTGGACCGGACTCCGGTGGAGCGGATTGCTCTGGCTCCGGAGTGGAGCAGGAACGGGCCGGACCGTGCTGGTGACGCGCACCACTGGCTTGGTGCGAGGGACAGGAACAGGCCGGACCGGGCTGGCGACACGCACCACTGGCTTGGTGCGAGGGACAGGAACAGGCCGGACCGGGCTGGCGACGCGCACCACTGGCTTGGTGCGAGGGACAGGAACAGGCCGGACCGGGCTGGCGACGCGCACCACTGGCTTGGTGCGAGGGACAGGAACAGGCCAGGCTGGACTGGGAACACGCACCACTGGCTTGGTGCGGGGAGCAGGAACAGGCCGGGCTGGACTGGGAACACGCACCACTGGCTTGGTGCGGGGAGAAGGAACAGGCCGGGCTGGACTGGGAACACGCACCACTGGCTTGGTGCGGGGAGCCCGAACGGGCCGGGCCGGACTGTGGAGGCGGACTGGAGGTCTGGAGCGGAGAGCTGACACAACCTGTCCTGGCTGAATGCCTATTTCCACACAATATGTGTGAGGCATCAGCACAGGACGTACAGGGCTGTGCACTCGTACTGGCGCTACAGCACGTGGCACTGGCGCAGGACATACGGGACCGAGGAGGCATACTGGAGGCCACGAGCGTTGAGCCGGCACACCCCGTCCTGGCTGCATGCCCATCTTAGCACGACACGTGCGTGGTGCTAGCACCGGACGTACAGGACTGTGCCGGAACACTCGCGGCACAGTACGTGGCTCCGCATAACACGGAGCCTGCCCAGTCTCACGCTTCCTAGCCTGAGTACGGGGAGTTGGCTCTGCTCTAACTCTAGGCTCCGCCAACCACCCTTTTAGCCCCCCAAAAAATGTTTCTTGGGGCTGTCTATCGGGCTTCCTCCTCGGCCGGTACCCTCTGCGTTGCCGCTGCTCCTCTCTGTAGCGCGCCTCCACAGTCTCCTCCCAAGGACGTTGATCCATTCCGGTCTGAATCTCTTCCCAAGTCCAGGATCCCTTCCCGTCCAGGATCTCCTCCCAAGTCCAGGCTGTCTGTTCCTGGACACGCTGCTTGGTCCTCTTTAGGTGGGATCTTCTGTCACGAACGTTGACTGATGACTCGTGGAACCAAGGCGCAGCGTGATAAGCGTACATTTTATTTAGTACACAACACACGAACAAAACAACAAAACGAACAATACGTGAAGTCCTGAGGTTACAACAACACAAACCTTTACGGAACAAGATCCCACAAACTAACTGGTGCCAACAGGCTGCCTAAGTATGGTCCCCAATCAGAGACAACGAGCTACAGCTGCCTCTGATTGGGAACCACCCTGGCCAACATAGAACAAAACGATCTAGAACAAAAAACATAGAAAACTAAACATAGAAAATCCACACCCTGGCTCAACATTTAAGAGTCCCCAGAGCCAGGGCGTGACATCCATATTACGGCAAGAACAGCTCAAATAAGCAAAGAGAAACGACAGTCCATCATTATTTTAAGACATGAAGGTCAGTCAATCTGGAAGATTTCAAGAACTTTGAATGTTTCTTCAAGTGCAGTCATAAAAACCATACAGCGCTATGATGAAACTGGCTAGTTACCAGCCTCAGAAATTGCAGCCCAAATAAATGCTCCACAGAGTTCAAGTAACAGACACCTCTCAACATCAACTGTTCAGAGGGGACTGTGTGAATCAGGCCTTCATGGTCGAATTGCTGCAAAGAAACCACTACTAAAGGACACCAATAATAAGAAGAGACCTGCTTGGGCCAAGAAACACGAGCAATGGACATTAGACCGGTGGAAATGTGTCCTTTGGTCTGGAGTCCAAATTGGAGATTTGCCTTTGGAGACACAGTGTGGGTGAACAGATGATCTCCGCATGTGTATTTCCCACCGTAAAGCATGGAGGAGGAGGTGTTATGGTGTGGGGGTGTTTTGCTGGTGACACTGTCTGTGATTTATTTAGAATTTGTACACGTCTCTGTGTGGAGTAAAGGTGGTCTAGAGTTTTTTTTCCCTCTGGTTGCACCTGACATGCTGGTAGAAATTAGGTAAAATGGATGTACGTTTTCCTGCATTAAAGTCCCCGGCCATTAGAAGCGCCACTTCTGGGTGAGCATTCTCTTGTTTGCTTATGGCCTTATACAGCACGTTGAGTGTGGTCTTAGTGCCTGCATCGGTTTGTGGTGGTAAATAGACATCTACGAAAAATATAGATGAAAACTCTCTTGGTAAATAAGGGGGTGGGCTCTAGACCATCCTATCAGCCAATCGGGGCTCTGTATGTAAATATCTTCAGTATTTCAAGGGCCAAAGGAGGCTCAGGCAAATAAATTATTATTTTCATTAAATAAACACACACAGTGATTTATTAGACGTAAAATGATGATTTAAAAATACAATTACAAAGACTGCATGGGGGCTTTAAGCAAGTGGAGTAATGAGTAAGATTTGGGGTTTTCACACACAAAATGGATTGCTTTTGATAAAACCGCTTCATCTGCCATCCCAATTAAAACTAGTTTGAAAATTCAAACATATATTTTATGTAAAAGACATGTATGTTTACTGAACGATGCACCATGCTGCATTGTTGACAATATGACCGAGCAGCGCAGATTACCGTTCGAATTGATCAGGGAGCGCCTCCCTCACCCTTCGCCATGTCACGTGACGGGCCATAGCCCGTTAAACCCGGGGCAACTTAATCGAATCCACTCAGTCCATCTTCAACTGTCTCTCCAAGGGAAATGGTGACCTCTTCTGGAAGAAAATGTTGGTGAAATGTAAAAAAGGGGTTAAAAAAACAAACATGAGGAGCACAGGTGTAATCTATAAAAACTGATTGAACGGTTAGGGCGGGAGATTGAAGAGATTTTTAGTATAGCTCTGAAAGAGTGTACCAAGCTAAATTGATCAGTAGGATGCTATTTTGATTGTGTGAGACAGTGAAAGGAGAGAAGTGTTTCCAATTTGTAATGGTAACATTGTAAAGTAGGCCTCATCTAATTTCCAGGGCTCTCATTTTGATTATCGTTGGAAACATCAAATGGACGGTAGGCCAATCAAATTTCCCTGTCAAGTGTTCTGAAAGTTTAAATATTGATAAGTCTACTGTCACTGTAGCCTGGTCCTATATCTGTTTGTGTTCTTGTCAACTCCATTGCTGTCCTTGTCTTGCCTCGAAACCCAACGTTGAATTGCATAGAATTCTACGTTGGGCAGAAATTAGTGTTTGAATTAGGAAAGTTGCTGTCGTGTTTCCAGGCAAGTCCCTCTCAAGACAAACAATGCATATGGCTACTGTCAGTGTGCACCAATTATTTGTGATTCTGAAGCTCCGTGAATGAATTGATATGATCTAAACCTTTTTTTTTTTATTCACATTGATTATTCATAATGTTAATGACATCAATTATTCTTCGTTTTTTAAAATATATATATATATATATATATATATATATATATAGAAGGGAGCAAACACCCACAGTCGATGGAGAGCGGTCAACATAACCAGCGGCATGTCAATCACCCAAGGCCGTTCTTCTATGTTCAACCGGCTTCTCAACCTTACTACAACATGTATCATCATCACAATCAGTGGCATAATATGAACAACCCATACAACCACTATGGTTTACCTGGTTCAGGTAGGCCTATCTTTCATGTTTATTGCTATGTCCCAAATGGCACCCTATTTCCTATGTAATGCTGTAGTGCACTGCTTTTGACCAGGACCCTGTAGTGCGTTATATAGGGAATAGCTGCCATTTGGGACTTACATTTTATTTGTCAAACCAGAATTTCAATGGATTATGGATTATTACAGTGGTTTAGTGAATGATTTTCTTGGATACAAATATTGCTGCATGGTCATATTGTCTTAAAAAACCCTTATGTTCTCCACAGGAGGTTATCCCTTTGGACGTCCTAGTCCATACATGTCCCCATACCCGTACATGCAGTATCCTGGTGGATATGTTGTCCCACACACTCCACACATGCATCCAGTTGATTACAGACGCATGTATGAACCATCTCATTTTCATCCACCTCCTGTGCATGACCCCATATTCCGCCACCAACAGCAGCACCAACAACAACACCACCATGTATGTATTATTTTGCAACTTGTGCGCAGATGAATAAGGCAATGAAATATTTTTTAATTAGTTCATTCACCACCACCAGGCTCACGCCCATAGAGAGGTGGTCTGTTCTGAGGCGCAGACGGACCCGAATGATGCGCTCAACAAGCTCATAGAATGTCTGGACAAACTCAGGGCCAACGAGATGCAGGGCTCTGAGAAAGAACTGGATTCCGGTGTCGTTTCCCAATCTTCCGGAATATTCTCGCCAGATGGGGAAACTAAATCTTGTGAGGTGGTGGTGGGGGGAGACATACACGGTGGTCATGGAGCCTCGTGTGGTAAGTTGGAAGGCAGCCAATTGCAGTCGTCATTTCCGATGGGCAGTTTGTTCAGCGTCGGTGACTCCACGGCGGCGGTCTATGACCGTGAGTCAAGCCGGAGCCTCGGTGGGCTGGGTCAGGAGGGCTGGGCTGTAGACTCTGATGAGGAGCCCCCATTGGACAGCTCATCTGTTCACGAGGAGCATAAGGAGAACCTGGACCCGCAGCAACATGCGGAGGAGGAGTCTCTTCATCGCTGTTCTTCTGAAAATCTTTGCCTCCAGTCTGCTGTCTTGCAGTCAGAAAACAGCCCCAGACCTGAAAACACAGACAACCAGGCAGAGGAGGATAGCACCAATCCAGACTGTACTAGCTCCACCGAGGGACTTATGAGGCAGGGCCACTGCTCCAACCTGCTCTCCCCACAGTCACTACCATCCCCCATAGCCTCTGACTGGCAAGCCTTAGAGGACACTAAACGTGGGGAAGAAACGTTTGATGTTCCAAATAGGAAAGGTCTGTCTAAACTGGATGTTGACCTTTCCTACCAGATCCTCCATCTGCCCTTTGACAAGGTAACTTTTTACTATAATTTTTATTGAATACTTTTTTTTTTGATTCTGCAGTGTTTGTTGAGACCTTGTAAGCATTTCATTTTCTTCTCTATATTATGACAAACTTTTAATTTGATTTAATTTGGACAAGGTCCTGACAGCTGGAGCTCTGCAGAAGGACTGCTCTGCCAGCTCCAGCTCTGCTCTGCTGTGTGGAGACCTCCAGGCTTCCCTGTCCTCCAGCCGGATCACCACCACCTCCTCCCCAGCCCATCACCACTACTATTCCTACTACTGTCCCCCACAGACTGCCCATGAAAGGCTCAGCGTCCTCAGTCCCTCCCTGGATGAGCTCTCGTCCCGAGATGAGATGTTCTCCACCGACCTGGAGGACATGGATCGGTTTCCCAGAAGCTCCGTCTACGCAGGGAGGAGGTTCTCTGCGGAGGTCGAGCACCTCGGAGAGCCAGAGGTCAAGAATGTCTGTCCTAAGTCCAAGAAGCTCTTGTGCGCCTGCTGTGGCTCGAGCCTGTTGAAAGGAGGGGCAAGCAGGGTTAAAGTTCATCACGGCCCGAGTGTGTATGCAGATGATGAGGCGGGGGATTCTGATGAAGTTGTCGAGCAGGAACAACAATCTGCAAGGACGTGTGAGGAGAGAGCGCACCCCACTAGAGTGGTTGTGCAGAAGCACCCTGTCCCCAAGAAACACCAGCCTCTACACATCCAACAGCATCCCAAACCCAGCTGTAAGAGAGGCCAGTGTAGAGAGGCTGTCGGACCAGAAGAGCAGCAGGAGGAACCAGAGATGGTGCTGGTGGGATCAGAGCTGGAGTATTATGAAGGCCATGTGGTGGAGGGTGGACAGGATGTGGGGGATAAGGAACACAGGACATGCAAAGGTAAGTATTCTTCATAAAAAATAGATTCACTAGAATGGGCATAGAACCTCCGACCATGGCAATTTCATTAGTAAACTCATGGGTACACTAATGGCCACAAGTATGCCCATTAGGGCATCATTGACTTAACTAGGGACTACCATTTTAGTGATTATATTTATGTAGTAGTCTTTCCCATGCAAGGCTGTGATGTCATGTGACTGAACATGGTTTTACAAATGAAACCAATGTTTGTTTTTTTTTTAAGAACATTGGTTTCTCACTACTCACACATTATTGGGGCCAGAGTTGGCAGATTTTGACATACCTATACACTAAACCATAGATCTGCTCTCTCTCTTCTAGATGGACTATGTAGAGAGGGCATGGCTACTTCAGATCCAGGCAGGTGGGAGAGGGATAGGGCCAAGCCCAGACGAAAACCACACACCTCACTGCAAGGTAATATAAACCAATCCTGATCAATAGATTTGAATGGATATTCTTTAGCTGTCCTAAATACCTGCAGCATTGACCTGGGTCCATATGTGTCAAGAATCTGAGTAGGAGTGCTGATCTATGATCAGAAACCCCCCCCCCCCCCGTCCGTCCATGTAACCTTTGTTGTTGTGATCCAAAATGCAAAACTGACCCTAAATCAGCACTCTGAAACGCTTGACACGAATGACTCCAGATGTGTTTTCTATGAATGTGAGAGCGTCATGGTTCAGGCCTGGTTGTTTTCAGAGAGACTGGCACTGAGGAAAGCTCTGTGTAAGCCATTGGTGTATCAGAGAGTGAGAGATGAGGAAGAGGAGCCACCACGATGTCACAGGGGAAAAGGTATTGGTTTTTCTTTAATCTTCTGCTCTTGTTTCACTATCGGCAATACTAGGGCTGCATCCCAAATGGAACCATATTCCCTTTTTATAGTGCACTACTTTTGACCAGGGCCCCTGAAGACCTTGCTGTGTGTTATGTTGGTGTATGAATCATTTTCTAATTTTCTTGTTCTGCTTCTTCCAGGGTCCACCAAGAGAGGAGACACGATGTTAATGTCACAGCATTGATCAAATAAAATGGCACAGGAAAAAAAGAGCACTTAGTACATTGCACAATAGAGATGGACACTTGTTTTGGTGATAAATCAAGGAGACTTAGTTAAAGTCTCCTTGGTTAATAAAGTACACTTTCAGGAGGGCCATATACACACTGCCCGTTAGCTAGCACTGTACTGTATTTTTGGGGTAAAATACCTACTTACTCACCAGCACACGGTTGGTGGCTTTGAAATGTTGATTTGCTTAACTGTTGTGACCAGTGTGTGCATTATTAAAATTAATTTCATTATACCCTAACCTGGCTGTGGTTTATTACACGTGTTTGTATGGTTTGAAATCATTTACACTTTACACTAGAAAACGCTATAACTTCATAAATGGCAAATATTAGAATACTTGACATGAGGCAATGCTATTGCCATGTAGGATTTTGTCAGTTGGCCACTGCATTTGTGAAGTTAAGAAGTTGCTGACCGTCTTATTTAGGCAATGATTTCAAATTAGTTACTGCTTTCAATTACTGACGTGCAAGCTGGTTTTCGTAAACTGTTCATTTACTGGTAATGATGCGAGTTTGTTTTGCATGGCCTGGTGCCCCGGGTGGGTGGAGATCTAATTTAAGGACCAATGGAATGTTCTAAAATATACAAACTCCGCCCACCCGTGGAACCGGGTCATGCAAAATGTACTTGCCCAATGATGAGCGCCATTACGACAACCTCCTTTACGAGTTGATTGGGTAGCAATTTGTAAATCGCTCTGGATAAGAGCGTCTGCTAAATGACTTAAATGTAAATGTAGCTGGGTGAACGAAATCAGGTGCACCTTGTATAATCAGTACATCTAATCAGTTATCTATTATCCAAAACGTGGTCAATGGCACAACCCTCTTCAATTCCCTATTTAAATCCCATCACGTCTACCATGCTGGTTCCTTGATAGTAATATTCGTTTTGCGAGTATGTAAGAGCTGGTCATTGCATGCCTCCCCAATTTTAGCATTAGAATATGAAGATTTTCTAGTGTTCTTAAAGTGGTTGTGTGCTTCCACATACTTTCAAAAGCTTTTGAAAATTCGGTCAAACACATCTACATGCTCAACTGTAGAAAATACCAACACTGATTGATAAAATGAGATGTGTAGGAAATGTCCTACAGTTCACCCTGCTCTTACCCTGTATTTTTCTACTCTCCCTCTACAGATATGGAAGCAACAGCATCTACAGCACAGCATGCCTTTGGAGCAGGGCCTCGTGGGCCCAACCCAGCCCATGGACCTCAGCAAGCCCAGGGCCCCCGACACCTAGGTCATCCTGGACCTTACGGAGTTCCACGTCTTGAGGACCAGCCCCCACACCAGCAAGTGAATGTAGCGGATGTTTGTTGGAATTTCCTCATGGCCTAATTGTTAAGTTTCTCCTGTGGGAGACCTGGGGTGTACTCATTAGTCTGGTTCCGTTGCAGAATGTTTTGTTGCAAACTCCAATTGTAAAACATTTGATAACGAAAACAAGAATTTCTATTGGACAAAATCAGGGGTGTATTCATTACGTCTTGCAATGGAAATAGTTTACTGTTTTAAGAACCAAACATAAACAAAACAGCGGGACCTACCTGAATTTGCCCAACAAACTCTTGTTTTCGTTTTGCAATAGATTAAATGTTTTGCAACAATCTGTGTAATGAATACACCCCCGGTAGGTCCCTCCCCGCTTTGTTCAGTTTGCTTCCTAGAGTAAACATAAAATGTTTTCTGTTGCAAAACGTTTTTCAACAATGTTTTGGAATGGAATTTAACTAATAATACACCCCAGGGTTACACTTCAGGGTTCCAATCCCACCTGTCATAAATAAACTGCGATGTATTTGTTAGTCGTATTCTGTGTGGAAACGGTACTCAAACTGATGTTTTTTTAACAAATGCATGTTTCTATTATACAAATTAAGGTAGGTCCCTCCACGTTCTGTTTGCGCTGTTTGGTTCCTAGAGTAAACGGTTTCTGTTGCTAAACATTTTGCATCAGACAATGTTGTGCAACAGAATCTGACTAATGAATGCACCACGGGCAAGAATTTAATTGAACTGTGTACACTACTCTGTATCCTGTGAATATGACAAATCAACTTTGTCATTTTGAGCACCAGCAGCCCCATCACCACATCCAGCACAGCAGACCGTTCTTCTACATCCACCCCTCCCAGCCATACCCCTCCCAGCCATACCCCTCCCAGCCATACCCCTCTGCTCTACCCTATCAGTGGCCCATGCCCATGCCCTACAACCCTTACTGCGGCTTCCCTGGGATGGGTAAGTACATGGCGGTATTGACCTCCAGAAAAGCCTTTGTTGCATCCTAAATAGCACAATATTACACTAATGGTACACATACCTGTACATAGTACACTACTTTTGACCAGGGTCCATATGGGCCTTGTCTTTACACTTCTAAACGGATGTTAAGTGCCATATAGGGCAGGTGTTGAATGTTGTCACTTAAAGTAAAGATCTACACCAAGTTTGAATTTAAATCGCTTCTGTTTGTCAGGAGGTTATGGTATGATGATACCGAGTCCCTTCCAGCCCAGTCCCTACATGGAGCCTCCGGGTTACATCCTTCCCCACTCTCAGCTCCACCTGGCGGACTACAGGCGTATGATCAACCCGCACTACCACACCACCCACTACCCTCAGACCATGGCCTACCACGCACGCAGGTTGTTTGGAATATTTTAAGTTCACGTTGCTTTCATTACCAATGTATGCCAAGCCAATGATTGTCTGAAATACACCAAACAAAATTATGATACATCAATATACCATAAAATGTATTAACACCTTCATATATCACATAGCATTTTAATGTTACCTCAAATCGCCTCATACCATACTAATAATAATGGACACATATCTATAATGACTGATGCCTGCAGGTTCCGTTACCAGCACAGCGCCCCAGCCAACAGAGAGATGATCAGCTCTGAGGTATGCATGTGGCTGTACGTGATGTCTACAATGTGTAGGACCTGGCTAATGTGCAATGTACCTGTATGTATTATGTTGCACATGTAATGTAGTGTTTATTTTGTATACAGCAGTACTGTCTAAGACAATATTCCCCTTTTATCCTAGGTACAGACTGAACCCCCATCAGGAGCAGCACGCTCTGACCCTAAACTCTCTAACGCCGACTCACCTATGAGAAGTAATGTCCAAACCAACTCTGAATCTGGCAACGCCACCAGTTGCACAGCTGCCCAGTCACTATCCCCAGCCTCTGCTGTGCAAGAGGTGATGTCTAAACCACCAGCCTACCAGGACATGATATCGGCACCCACCCCCAACAGCACTTCCATCTCCACCAGGTCTGCTGCACCCCAGAAAGGCAGCTTTGTGTTCCAGACAGAGGTGCTGTGATTAATTTTTTTAAAATCCCCTGTACAGTTCCCTGCTTTGTTTCTGTATAATTTCAGTTTCTTGTTATGATGCAAGGCAAATCTGTGTGTAAACTGACAAAATACCATCTTTATCTTAGGTGGAGGAGGTGAGGATGGAGTGCCGCAGCACCCCCACGGGGTTAAATATCCTCCACTCCCATGAGACTTCTGAGCTGTGCACCACCCACCGTGTGTCTGGGACAGATGAAGACTTGGTGCAGCTCTGTTCTTCCTCCTCCCTCCACCACCACAAGGCCTCACAGGAGGGGATGGGTCTGGTTGGAGAGAAGGAGGAGCAGTGTCTCCAGCAATCCTGCCCAGATATACTCCTAATGGATGGGTCGTCCTCTAGTGGCGGACCAGAGAACTTCCTTGATCTTGAGGACTGCGACTCTGTTGTCGCGAAAACACTGACCGAACGACCAGGGAATGCTGAATCCGATATGGACTACAGATTGGTGGTCCAAAGCCACAAAGCCGATGGTCCTCAATTGGCAAGGAACGACGGAGAACTGAGTGGGAACAGCTCCAAGAGTGTCCATTTTAAGATCCTCCACATGCCCTTTGACATGCAGTATTTAGAAGAGCTGAGGAAGATTGAGGCGTCTGTGTGGTCTGTGGAGTCTCTGGCGCCGTATGTCCCCTCAGCAGAGTTTATGATCCAGCAGGGCCTGATGGAGCCACACAAGGAGGCACTGAGCCCCGTGGTGGAAAAGGTCCCTGTCGCGGAGGAAGTCCCCATGGTGGAGGAAGTCCCCACAGCAGAGGTCGTGGAGAAGGTCCCCACGGCAGAGGAGGTCTCCATAGTGGAGGAAGTCCCCACGGCAGAGAGCACTATGAATGAAAATGTAACAATGGCAGAGATGGTCCCTAATGTGGTGGAGGTACCTGCAATATCCAGTCGTAACAAAACGGACAACACTCCCACATCTCCAGAGACCAGTCAAAAGAGGGGTGCGGTGAGTGACCTTGATCATCAGGATACCTCATTTGGGGCGTTACCTACATACCGTCCCTCAACTAGCTGGCTGGCCGACTTTGGCAACGTCTACTATTACAGCAAGCTGCCTCCTAATGTTGAGGAGCAGCGCAAGATCCTCAGATGCAGCCCACTTAAGCTGTCAAGCCCCAAAGGGAAACCTAACCATGACCAAGAGCCTAAAGATCCTCATCGTGTTGCAGTCACTACAACTGCTCCACTCAGGCTAAAGGGATGCAGACTGAGAGAAAAGGTGGACAGGAGGAGCTACTCTGACCAAGAGTGCTGTGCTAACCGGACCTTCAATGGGAACACGGGGACCTCTGGTGGCCTCAAAAGGGAGCGCATCTGTGCCAGATGTTTGACAACAAAATGCAGTGTGAACAAGATACCTGGCAGTCCTGGGCCAGGCCTGGATGCTCTGATTGTAAAACGACAAGGGGTCCCCGTTCCACCATGGGAGGAATCTATCCTAGCCCAGACTTGTGCAGCCTGCAAATGCCTCCCACGGAGGCGGGTGACGAGGAAAGGTTCCGGGTCAGATGTTCCCGGCGGACCACATAATGAAGAGACTGAGGGTGAGACCTCTGAGAACAGGTAATGGTTGTGGCATGGCACATTCTTGCTTCGAACTTTGGATTATGCCTTGTACAGTATGTCGAGCTTGGGACTATAACGTTCTATCTGCATTTGTCAATGTAGTTATTGACAGCCTTGTTCTGTTCAATGTTCCCTACATATCCAGTATAGTACTCTAAATACCCCAATTAAAGTTGAAAAGAATACTAGATAAAAATTTCTGACGCCATTCAAACCAATGTGGGCTTGGAACTTTAAAGCCAATGATCTCAATCATCGTTTTGCAGATAGAACCTTATAGTCCCAAGCTCTCAATTAGTATTTAGTCTGCTGCTGTTTTGACAATGTTCCCGCTGTAATAACATACAATGACTTGAAATGTCCCCTTAATGAAGTATCAATCTACCTAACAGTTCTTGTCGGGCAGGACCGGGGCCCAAACTGCGGGACCCAAGGAGGCCTGAGTCCTCCATGAAGCGCTACTCTGAGGCAAGTACTGCACACTGTATACTTGGCAAATGACACCCTATTTGCTATATAGTGTACTACTTTTGACCAGGGCCACGCTATATGTATTTAAAGCTGCAATATGTAACTTTTTAGGTGACCTGACCAAATTCCCATAGAAAAGAGTTATAGATTTGTCATTCTCATTGAAAGCACGTCTAAGAGGTGGTAGATGTGTTCTGTGCTATTTCTATGCTTACGTTAAGTTTAGTTCGTCTTTCACGTTCCGTTTTATACACCAGTTTCAAACAGCTGAAAATACCATATTTTTTATTTAGCCGGTGCAATGATTCTCTACACTATACTTGCTTGTTTTTGTCAAACTGAATTTATGCAAACTATTAGAATTTTAGCAACCAGGAAATGGCCAGTGTCATACTTGAGTAAAAATATTGTCATACTTGAGTAAAAGTAAAGATGCCTTAATAGAAAATGACTTGAGTAAAAGTGAAGTCACCCAGTAAAATAGAGAAAGTCTAGAAGTGTTGGGTTTTAAATATACTTAAGTATGAAAGTATATAAATTTCACATTCCTTATACAGTGGGGGGAAAGGTATTTAGTCAGCCACCAATTGTGCAAGTTCTCCCACTTAAAAAGATGAGAGGCCTGTAATTTTCATCATAGGTACACGTCAACTATGACAGACAAATTGAGAAAAGAAAATCCAGAAAATCACATTGTAGCATTTTTTATGAATTTATTTGCAAATGATGGTGGAAAATAAGTATTTGGTCACCTACAAACAAGCAAGATTTCTGGCTCTCACAGATCTGTAACTTCTTCTTTAAGAGGCTCCTCTGTCCTCCACTCATTACCTGTATTAATGGCACCTGTTTGAACTTGTTATCAGTATAAAAGACACCTGTCCACAACCTCAAACAGTCACACTCCAAACTCCACTATGGCCAAGACCAAAGAGCTGTCAAAGGACACCAGAAACAAAATTGTAGACCTGCACCAGGCTGGGAAGACTGAATCTGCAATAGGTAAGCAGCTTGGTTTGAAGAAATCAACTGTGGGAGCAATGGAAGACATACAAGACCACTGATAATCTCCCTCGATCTGGGGCTCCACACAAGATCTCACCCCGTGGGGTCAAAATGATCACAAGAACGGTGAGCAAAAATCCCAGAACCACACGGGGGGACCTAGTGAATGACCTGCAGAGAGCAGGGACCAAAGTAACAAAGCCTACCATCAGTAACACACTACGCTGCCAGGGACTCAAATCCTGCAGTGCCAGACGTGTCCCCCTGCTTAAGCCAGTACATGTCCAGGCCCGTCTGAAGTTTGCTAGAGTGCATTTGGATGATCCAGAAGAGGATTGGGAGAATGTCATATGGTCAGATGAAACCAAAATATAACTTTTTGGTAAAAACTCAACTCGTCGTGTTTGGAGAACAAAGAATGCTGAGTTGCATCCAAAGAACACCATACCTATTGTGAAGCATGGGGGTGGAAACATCATGCTTTGGGGCTGTTTTTCTGCAACGGGACCAGGACGACTGATCCGTGTAAAGGAAAGAATGAATGGGGCCATGTATCGTGAGATTTTGAGTGAAAACCTCCTTCCATCAGCAAGGGCATTGAAGATGAAACGTGGCTGGGTCTTTCAACATGACAATGATCCCAAACACACCGCCCGGGCAACGAAGGAGTGGCTTCGTAAGAAGCATTTCAAGGTCCTGGAGTGGCCTAGCCAGTCTCCAGATCTCAACCCCATAGAAAATCTTTGGAGGGAGTTGAAAGTCTGTGTTGCCCAGCGACAGCCCCAAAACATCACTGCTCTAGAGGAGATCTGCATGGAGGAATGGGCCAAAATACCAGCAACAGTGTGTGAAAACCTTGTGAAGACTTACAGAAAACGTTTGACCTGTGTCATTGCCAACAAAGGGTATATAACAAAGTATTGAGAAACTTTTGTTATTGACCAAATACTTATTTTCCACCATAATTTGCAAATAAATTCATAAAAAATCCTACAATGTGATTTTTCTCTCATTTTGTCTGTCATAGTTGACGTGTACCTATGATGAAAATTACAGGCCTCTCATCTTTTTAAGTGGGAGAACTTGGACAATTGGTGGCTGACTAAATACTTTTTTCCCCCACTGTATTAAGCAAACCAGGCCGCACAATCGTGTTTTTTAAATTTACAGATAGCCAGGGGCACACTAAACACTCTGACATAATTTACAAATGAAGCATTTGTGTTTAGTGAGTCCGGCAGATCAGAGGCAGTAGGGATGACCATGGATGTTCTCTTGATAGGTGCATGAATTGGACCAATTTCCTGTCAAAATGTAATGTGTACGTTTGGGTGTCAGGGAAAATGTATGGCGTAAAAAGTACATTTTCTTTAGGAATGTAGTAAAGTAAAAGTTGTCAAATATAAACCGTAAAGTACAGAGACCCTAAAAAACCAACTTCAGTAGTATTTTTACTTAGGTACTTTACACCACTGGAAATGGCAGAGCGATTTCTGCGTAGTGCACCTTTTTTTTTTAAATGGTCAAATATATTCTCGATCCATCCAGAAGTGTCCCATGGGTCCGCACTCAAAACTGAGGGAGAAGAACTGTTCGTGTGAAGAGCCCCATCATGGGCCCCCCGCTGCTGTGCGGGAGGGGCCACGACGCCATCACCATGGCAATGTCATTAGGGAGCGAAATGAGGAGAACCTTGGTGTGTGCGTCTCCGTCCCACTTCAGGACAAATGGAGAAACCAGAACCAATGCTACCTCGCCGCACAGAAATGGCAACAAGGTAAGCCCAAAGCATTGTTTTGTAATAAAGATTTGTTATTGATGTAATGCGTAAACCAGTTTTAGCCTGTATTGTTCCATAGAGCATTTAAAAACATTTGTCAGTTGCTATGTTCAATGTCATTTGAACGTTTGAGTTGAAATGTTCCTTTCTCTTCCTACAGAGAAGTTGTGGAGAGCGGCTTTGTCCAACCCTGACAACACTGAAAGTAATAGTAGTAAGAATGGACCCAGACACTTGATTAAACAGAAGAAACACATTTCACAATCACAAGGTAGTCATCTACTATAAAACCCTACTGTAAGTTACCGTGTGTAAAACACATTTAGCATTTTTCGAAATGTAATGTCACCTTTGTGTTCAATTCCAACATTTGTTTCCCCCCCCTCAGGACTTCACAGAAATGACACAAGATGCTAATTTTTCACGAGCACATTGTAACAAGTGAAGCATATGCACTTCTATTGTTATCCTCTACACATTTATGAATGAACTCTTAAAGCTCACAATATACACTCACTATTTATGAAATGTACAATAAATAAACACTTGACTACAGTGCTTGTATTGAATTGCTTCTCATTGGGGGATGGTAAAGGGCTGTGTGCATACATAGTACAAGTCAAAAGTTTGGACACCTACTCATTCAAGGGTTTTTATTTTTTACTATTTTCTACATTGTAGAATAATAGTGAAGACATCAAAACTATGAAATTACACATGGAATCATGTAGTAACCAAAAGTGTTAAACAAATCAAAATATATTTGAGATTCTTCAAAGTAGCCACCCTTTGCCTCAACGACAGCGTTGCACTCTTGCCATTCTCTCAACCAGCTTCCCCTGGAATGCTTTTCCAACAGTCTTGAAGGAGTTCCCACATACAGTGAGGGGAGGGGGGGGGGAGTATTTGATCCCCTGCTGATTTTAGTACGTTTGCCCACTGACAAAGAAATGATCAGTCTATAATTTTAATGGTAGGTTTATTTGAACAGTGAGACAGAATAACAAAAAATCCAGAACAACGCATGTCAAAAATGTTATAAATTGAGTTGCATTTTAATGAGGGGAAATAAGAATTTGACCCCCTCTCAATCAGAAAGATTTCTGGCTCCAAGGTGTCTTTTATACAGGTAACGAGCTGAGATTAGGAGCACACTTTTAAAGGGAGTGCTCCTAATCTCAGCTTGTTACCTGTATAAAAGACACCTGTCCACAGACTCAATCAGATTCCAAACTCTCCATGGATGTCAGGGACAAGATTGTAGACCAACACAAGGCTGGAATGGGCTACAAGACCATCGCCAAGCAGCTTGGTGAGAAGGTGACAACAGTTGGTGCGATTTATTCGCAAATGGAAGAAACACAAAATAACTGTCAGTCTCCCTCGGCCTGGGGCCCCATGCAAGTTCTCACCTCGTGGAGTTGCAATGATCATGAGAAGGGTGAGGAATCAACCCAGAACTACACGGGAGGAACTTGTCAATGATCTCAAGGCAGCTGTGACCATAGTCACCAAGAAAACAATTGGTAACACACTACGCCGTGAAGGACTGAAATCCTGCAGCGCCCGCAAGGAAGCACATATACAGGCCCGTCTGAAGTTTGCCAATGAACATCTGAATTATTCAGAGGAGAACTGGGTGAAAGTGTTGTGGTCAGATTAGACCAAAATGGAGCTCTTTGGCATCTACTCAACTCTCTGTGTTTGGAGGAGGAGGAATGCTGCCTGTGACCCCAAGAACACCATCCCCACCGTCAAACATGGAGGTGGAAACATTATGCTTTGGGGGGGGGGGGTTTCTGCTAAGGGGACAGGACAACTTCACCGCATCAAAGGGACGATGGACGGGGCCATGTACCGTCAAATCTTGGGTGAGAACCTCCTTCCTTCAGCCAGGGCATTGAAAATGGGTCGTGGATGGGTATTCCAGCATGACAATGACCCAAAACACACGGCCAAAGCAACAAAGGAGTGGCTCAAGAATAAGCACATTAAGGTCCTGGAGTGGCCTAGCCAGTCTCCAGACCTTAATCCCATAGAAAATCTGTGGAGGGAGTTGAAGGTTTGAGTTGCCAAACGTCAGCCTCGAAACCTTAATGACTTGGAGAAGATCTGCAAAGAGGAGTGGGACAAAATCCCTCCTGAGATGTGTGCAAACCTGGTGGCCAAATACAAGAAACGTCTGACCTCTGTGATTGCCAACAAGGGTTTTGCCACCAAGTACTGTCATGTTTTTGCAGAGGGGTCAAATACTTACTTCCCTCATTAAAATGCAAATCAATTTATAACATTTTTGACATGCATTTTTCTGTTGTTATTCTGTCTCTTAATGTTCAAATAAACCGACCATTACAATTATAGACTGATCATGTCTTTGTCAGTGGGCAAACGTATAAAATCAGCAGGGGCTCAAATACTTTTTTCCCTCACTGTATACTGAGCACTTGTTGGCTGCTTTTCCTTCACTCTGCGGTCCGACTCATCTCAATTGAGGTCGGGATTGTGTGCAGCACTCCATCACACTCCTTCTTGGTCAAATACCCGTTACATAGCCTGGAGGGTCATGTCCTGTTGGAAAAACAAATGATAGTCCCGCTAAGCGCAAACCAGATGGGATGGCATATCGCTGCAGAATGCTGTGGTAGCCTTGCTGGTTAAGTGTGCCTTGAATTCTAAATAAATCAGACTGTCACCAGCAACACACCATCACACCTCCTCCATGCTTCACGGTGGGAACCACACATGCAGAGATCATCCGTTCACCTACTCTATGTCTCACAGACACGCCGGTTGGAACCAAAAACCTCAGGTTTGGACATCAGACCAAAGGACAGATTTCCACCGGTCTAATGTCCATTGCTTGTGTTTCTTGACCCAAGCAAGTCTTATTGGTGTCCTTTAGTAGTGGTTTCTTTGCAGTAATTCGACCATGAAGGCCTGATTCACGCAGTCTCCTCTGAACAGTTGTCTAAACTCAAGCAGTTATTTGGGCTGCAATTTGAGGTTGGTAACTCTGGGTCTTCCTTTCCTGTGGCGGTCCTCATGAGAGCCAGTTTCATCATAGCGCTTGATGGTTTTTGCGACTGCACTTGAAGAAACGTTCAAAGTTCTTGAAATAAAATATTGATTGACTGTCATTTCTCTTTCCTTATTTGAGCTGTTCTTTCCATAATATGGACTTGGTCTTTTACCAAATATGGTTATCTTCTGTATACCACCCCTACCTTGTCACAACACAACTGATTGGCTCAAACGCATTAAGAAGGAAAATTCTGCAAATTAACTTAAGGCACACCTGTTAATTGAAATGCATTCCAGGTGACTACCTCATGAAGCTGGTTGAGAAAATGCCAAGTGTGCAAAGCTGTCAACAAGGGAAAGGGTGGCTACTTTTGAAGAATCTAAAATATATTTTGATTAACACTTTTTTAGTTACTACATGATTCCATGTGTTATTTCATAGTTTTGATGTCTTCACTATTATTCTACAATGTAGAAAATAGTTTTTAAAAAATAAAGAAAAACAATGGAATGAGTAGGTGTCAACTTTTGACCGGTACTGTATGTATGTGTATATATATATATATATATATATATATGTACACACACACACACACACACACACATGACCTTTGCCTCTGATTTGCTGAGGGGAACCTATAATCTTCCCAGAAATAACTTTTTCAGATACCTACAGATTACTGTTAGAAAACATCTTCCTACATTTGAAAATGCTACACCTTCCATGTTTGATGGACGCATCAAAATATGTCCCACCACAGGCAAAAATATATTGTCTGACTTTTCAATCTGTTGGCACACCCTAAACAGACGCCATTAAGGCAAAATGGGAGGAAGAACTAGCCACTGACATTTCTGTTAGACTGGGATGGCCACACCTGCTCAATTAACTTCAAACCTTGTCTTATACAATTCAAGATCTTACACAGATTACACTATTACAAAACTAAGCTGCATAGGATATTTCCTGATACCGGGATGCTGACCTTCTAGGCAGAGTTGCAAAGAAAAAGCCATATCTCAGACTGCCCATCTTAATCTTTTATTTTTATTGGCCAGTCTGAGATATGGCTTTTTCTTTGCAACTCTGCCTAGAAGGTCAGCATCCCAGAGTCGCCTCTTCACTGTTGACGTTGAGACTGGTGTTTTGCGGGTACTATTTAATGAAGCTGCCAGTTGAGGACCTGTGAAGCGCCTGTTTCTAAAACTAGACACATGTATTTGTCCTCTTGCTCAGTTGTGCACCGGGGCCTCCCACTGCTCTTTCTATTCTGGTTAAAGCCAGTTTGCGCTGTTCTGTGAAGGGAGTAGAACACAGCATTGTACGAGATCTTCAGTTTCTTGGCAATTTCCCACATGGAATAGCCTTCATTTCTCAGAACAAGAATAGACTGATGAGTTATTTGTTTCTGGCCATTTTGAGCCTGTAATCGAACCCACAATTGCTGATGCTCCAGATACTCAACTAGTCTCAAGAAGGCCAGTTTTATTGCTTCTTTAATCAGCACAACAGTTTTCAGCTGTGCTAACATAATTGCAAAAGGGTTGTCTAATGATCAATTAGCCTTTTTAAATTATAAACTTGGATTAGCAAACACAATGTGCCATTGGAACACAGGACTGATGGTTGCTGATAATGGGCCTCTGTACGCCTATGTAGATAATCCATTAAAAATCTGCTGTTTCCAGCTACAATAGCAATTTACAACATTAACAATGTCTACACTGTATTTCTGATCAATTTGATATTTTAATGGACAAAAACATTGCTTTTCTTTCGAAAAACAAGGAAATTTCAAAGTGACCCCAAACTTTTGAACGGGTGTGTAGAAACATGCCATTTTCATACATGTAGACTGGTATGGTGCTGGATGAATGAGGTTGAAAAGTGGGAGCATTTCCTCTAGGCTAGAGTATTACTGTTTGAATGTGTCTTGGAGGTGAGGGAGAATGTTGTTTTCTAAAACATGAAAGGGTAATGTTGCTCAGCATGATTCTGTATTATAAATTCAATTTCATTACATGATATGAGTGTTTCCAAAATTGCATCTGTGCCCTTTCCTTGAATTACATGAGGTCAGCAATCAGGGTTCTGGTCATCCAACAGTTGCGTGAATGTTTTTTGTGCAAAGTACTGAACTAAATGTATAGTTCCAGAATAATTCCACCACTATAGCTAGGAAGATAATTGTGAAAAGTCAAACATCAGATGCTTTACAATGCAGAAACTGGTTATCCCAAATGAGGTGTTCAAGAGAAATGTTTTGCAGTGAACACATTCTGAATACACTGCAAATATGAGTCCTGTCATTGAGGCAGAGGCGTCACTCAGGAGGAACAGCTGACCTTTAACCCCTGGGCCCACCATGGGGGTTGTGCTGCATACCCCGCCTCCTCTGCTACGTCCTGTGTGAGGTAGGGTTGTACCAGTGTCTGCTGCAGCAGCTTCACCTAGTGATCAGAGTACGTAGTAAGTAAAGATTGAGTTGGGTAATTTTGTGTGAATTAATGGAAAAGGTCACCATCTTATGGTTGAATTAAATATGGCAGATACTGTTTTAGTCCAGTGCAAAATAGTGGCAGAATCAAGTACTACAAATGTTTTGACTGTTTGTATCTTCCTGAAATAGCTTTCATGATCTTAATTACGTACAATACAACCTGTATTTCAATGTAGTTCAAACGATTTACCTCAGAGAAATCATTCCCCTCAGCCTTCCGTACTGCAGACTCTGCCATCCAGTTCCGCAGCACGTATCTGGGATTGATCCCTGTGGAAAGTTTGATAATCTCAGATGTAAATGGTTTATTTGTTCTACCAAGCAAGAAAATTAATCAATAACAAACAGTATTATTTGCAAAGGTCCCCTTTCTTCATTGCCCTTATTCAGTAGGAGGGGACTGCATCATCATAATAATCAGTCAGAGGACTGGAGCTTGCTATCAGGTCAATCTGTCAGCGTTACCATGGTGATTGCTTACTTTTCATCCTGTGTTGACGATCCTCATCAGAATCACCTCCCTGCCTGAGCCATTAAAAACAAAGAATCAATCATCTAACAAAAGGCCATGAATCTGTGAGACTAATGTTAATCGAGCCAGTTAAATGATAGGGCAAACATTTTATTTCTGCTTAAAGAGACATACCCAAACTTAATTACTTTTCATGAATGGCCATAAACAACAACTGATAATATTGCATAGTTTTAGAAGGGTCTGGAAATCTTGTTTCTGGTAAAAAGGTATAAATTGCTGAGGTGTACTCACTTTAGAGGATCCAAGCTCAATTACATAGTATAAATATTATGAAAATATGAAAAATCATAACAATTCTTCCAATTCAACAAAAGTGGGGCAATGGGGCTAGAAATGACAAATGCTTTCTAAATATAGTAACAATCAAACTACTTACTATAAGATTTCACATTTCTTAACTAAAATAAATATGATCATACTTAGTGACGGCACAATATTGGCACTATTTTAAGACATGGGACCCTACGATGTTCACAGAGCGCTTTGTAAACCAAAATGTCAGTCGGAACTGGTGCAGAACTGCTCAAAGACCCCAAATAGGGGACTTAACATAACCCCCACACAAAAAGGGAAAGAAAATATGGAATACAGTTGAGTAATGAGTCATCAGAATATTTGAGAGAAACTAACTGGGGTCATAAAAAGCATATTAACCAAATGTTTGATAACAGTGCATTCCTACTGTACATACCTTTTTAGTCTATGCAGGTACATGCTGACCCACTCTGGGTACAGCTTATGGGAAGCCAGGTTCTGCAGGGCCCACATCACCTAACAGGGACGAAAGAGGAGAGGAAGAGAGGACTTTAGTACTTTAAGGGGCAATCTGCGATTCGAAAAACAACGCATCTTCAAGAATCAATGGCTACAGTGGGGAAAAAAAGTATTTAGTCAGCCACCAATTGTGCAAGTTCTCCCACTTAAAAAGATGAGAGGCCTGTAATTTTCATCATAGGTACACATCAACTATGACAGACAAAATGAGAAAGAAAAATCCAGAAAATCACATTGTAGGATTTTTAATGAATTTATTTGCAAATTATGGTGGAAAATAAGTATTTGGTCAATAACAAAAGTTTCTCAATACTTTGTTATATACCCTTTGTTGGCAATGACACAGGTCAAACGTTTTCTGTAAGTCTTCACAAGGTTTTCACACACTGTTGCTGGTATTTTGGCCCATTCCTCCATGCAGATCTCCTCTAGAGCAGTGATGTTTTGGGGCTGTCGCTGGGCAACACAGACTTTCAACTCCCTCCAAAGATTTTCTATGGGGTTGAGATCTGGAGACTGGCTAGGCCACTCCAGGACCTTGAAATGCTTCTTACGAAGCCACTCCTTCGTTGCCCGGGCGGTGTGTTTGGGATCATTGTCACGCTGAAAGACCCAGCCACGTTTCATCTTCAATGCCCTTGCTGATGGAAGGAGGTTTTCACTCAAAATCTCACGATACATGGCCCCATTCATTCTTTCCTTTACACGGATCAGTCGTCCTGGTCCCTTTGCAGAGAAACAGCCCCAAAGCATGATGTTTCCACCCCCATGCTTCACAGTAGGTATGGTGTTCTTTGGATGCAAATCAGCATTCTTTGTCCTCAAACACGACGAGTTGAGTTTTTACCAAAAAGTTATATTTTGGTTTCATCTGACCATATGACATTCTCCCAATCCTCTTCTGGATCATCTAAATGCACTCTAGCAAACTTCAGACGGGCCTGGACATGTACTGGCTTAAGCAGGGGGACACGTCTGGCACTGCAGGATTTGAGTCCCTGGCGGCGTAGTGTGTTACTGATGGTAGGCTTTGTTACTTTGGTCCCGGCTCTCTGCAGGTCATTCACTAGGTCCCCCTGTGTGGTTCTGGGATTTTTGCTCACCGTTCTTGTGATCATTTTGACCCCACGGGGTGAGATCTTGCGTGGAGCCCCAGATCGAGGGAGATTATCAGTGGTCTTGTATGTCTTCCATTTCCTAATAATTGCTCCCACAGTTGATTTCTTCAAACCAAGCTGCTTACCTATTGCAGATTCAGTCTTCCCAGCCTGGTGCAGGTCTACAATTTTGTTTCTGGTGTCCTTTGGCAGCTCTTTGGTCTTGGCCATAGTGGAGTTTGGAGTGTGACTGTTTGAGGTTGTGTACAGGTGTCTTTTATACTGATAACAAGTTCAAACAGGTGCCATTAATACAGGTAACGAATGGAGGACAGAGGAGCCTCTTAAAGAAGAAGTTACAGGTCTGTGAGAGCCAGAAATCTTGCTTGTTTGTAGGTGACCAAATACTTATTTTCCACCATAATTTGCAAATAAATTCATTAAAAATCTATATATCTATATATATACAGTGGGGGAAAAAAGTATTTAGTCAGCCACCAATTGTGCAAGTTCTCCCACTTAAAAAGATGAGAGAGGCCTGTAATTTTCATCATAGGTACACGTCAACTATGACAGACAAATTGAGAAAAAAAATCCAGAAAATCACATTGTAGGATTTTTAATGAATTTATTTGCAAATTATGGTGGAAAATAAGTATTTGGTCACCTACAAACAAGCAAGATTTCTGGCTCTCACAGACCTGTAACTTCTTCTTTAAGAGGCTCCTCTGTCCTCCACTCGTTACCTGTATTACAGGCCTCTCTCATCTTTTTAAGTGGGACAACTTGCACAATTGGTGGCTGACTAAATACATTTTTTTCCCACTGTAATTCATTTAAAAGACCAAAAATGGATGTAGCAATTGCAGATTGCCCCTATAATGTACAGTTAATCAGCAGTATTTTGTCTTGTGATTGTTTGTACAGGGTTAATAAGCAATGTGTATGACCTGTAAGTTGGACATGTTGTGAAGTTGCTGCATTGAGGCTTCACTCAGCTGTCTGAAGGTCATGGTGAAGTCTGCACCTGTGTCCTCCATTAGCTGAGGAGACACAGGAGGGAGAGAAAGACAGCCAATCAAATTCACTGGACAGGGACAATATACCAACATCAGGTCAAAGGTCACTCACAGGGTCAGAGATGGAGAGAGACACACACAGAATCTTAGAGAAATGAACCACTTGCCTTGAGCAGAAATGCAATGAGATATTCATCCTCCTCCTCCTCGCCAAGTAAATCTAACTTAGCCTTAAACAGCTTGTGAAATCTGGAATGATAAAGTTGAACATAATATTTGGAGGAAAAAGGGAACTTACAGACACATTCAAATGCACACACAAGAGAGAGGGAGATAAATTACCTCATCTGGTATATATGTGGGTACCCTTTCAGTACTTGCCCAGCCCTTCAAAAAAATAGTTTTTAACAGTTACAATGTACATTCCCCAACATCCTCTGACAAACAAATGTAATGGGAATGATGTACTTACCAGAGCTATATGGACATTTCTGATGTGCAAACCGATATTACATTTCAGAATTTGTTAAAAATAGGTTACGGTTAGGGTTATGCTCGTCAGAACAGTTCGTATAACCCTTCCCGTACTTACCCTTGCCTCTGTTCTAGGGTCAGCACTGGAGTTAGGGCTTCTAGAAGTTTCTCCAGGTTGAACAGACCAACATTGGCCTGAGCCCCGATACTGTACCTCCTCTCCCCATCAGATGTGTTGGGGACAAAATCTGTACCGATCAAGGGAAAAGATCAGTTTCCTTCTTCAACACTAGTGATTCAAAATTCAAAAAAGCACTTGTACATCTGAGTTCTCATTGTAGGTGTGAGGGGGAAATGCGATAACTTCAAAGAAAAGAGAAACCTGCACACTGCTCTTATCACTTATTTGATTAAAGCTTACATTATATGTGATACCTAAGCTTTAAAGGGATACTTCAGGATTTTTATCCACTTCCCCAGAGCCAGATGAAGTCATGGATACCATTTTTATGTCTCTGCATTCAGTATGAAGGAAGTTAGATTTAGTTTCGCGAGCCAATACTAACTAGCGTTAGCACAATTACTGGAAGTCTATGATATCTACTAGCATGCTAGCAGTTACCATAGACATCCAGTCATTGCGCTAACACTAGTTAGCAACTTCCTTCAAACTGCACGTAGACATAAAAATGGTGTCCACGAGTACATCTGACTTTGGTTAAGTAGATAAAGGGCTTCATGCCCAAATCCTGAAGTATCCCATTAAAGTTTACGTATCACACGTATCACGTAAGCTTTAATAAAATAAGTGATACGAGGGTTTCTCTTCACTTCTTCAAAATTGTAAAAACAAATCGGCTACCAACAGATATTTTTTTTATTAAAGATACAACATAGGAAAAACAATTAGAAACCTGTAGGTACAAAATGACAGAAACGGTAGGCCAATATGAATAATATTAGATATCAATACGTCCTGAAAGGGCTGTATATGCATGAGCGAGATACTGTACATACTTGGGTTGTAGGCTTCCATAAAGCCAAACGGTCCGTAGTCAATGGTGATAGACAAGAGGCTGAAGTTGTCAGTGTTGCATACTCCTGTTAGGGCAATGAAATACTATATAAACACAGTTAACCACCATGCAGTATAAACAGAATGGAATTATGTGCATACTGCATGTTAGAATAGTGCCAATTCACGGATTCGTATTTCTCATAAATCACTATGAAGAGTGTATTTTGATGTATAAACTGCTACTATAATCGTAATTGTGACTGATAACTCCAATATCAAATTGCATTGGATTCAAGTGCATTATTTTGCTGAAGTGCAGTAATTTGTCATACTGAGTACTACTCACCATGTGCAAAGCCAATAGACATCCACTGGGCAATGAGGTGAGCGGTCTCATTCACAACCCTGGAGTAAAATATCTGAGACAACACACAGCAAAAATCAGCATGTACAAAAATATACAGATTAAGAACACCTGTTCAGTATAAAATATTTCATGTTTGAGCATTATATACTGAGATCATTGTACCGGTAAGTAGTAGTTTAGTAGTGTATTTAAGCCTAAATGTAAATTAGCAACAATGCCCAAAGGCAAATTAGACCATTGTAGGACATGGTGATGGAGAGAAGTTCAGAAATAATGAGAGACACTTTATTATTTGAGTATTCAGGTAATTCGTTTCCAATGCCCAGCGTGATAGGGTCACATCAGTCCTAGAGTGAGCTACAGTGAGGGAAAAAAGTATTTGATCCCCTGCTGATTTTGTATGTTTTCCCACTGACAAAGACATGATCAGTCTATAATTTTAATGGTAGGTTTATTTGAACAGTGAGAGACAGAATAACAACAAAAAAATCCAGAAAAACGCATGTCAAATATTTTTATAAATTGATTTGCATTTTAATGAGGGAAATAAGTATTTGACCCCTCTGCAAAATATGACTTAGTACTTGGTGGCAAAACCCTTGTTGGCAATCACAGAGGTCAGACGTTTCTTGTAGTTGGCCACCAGGTTTGCACACATCTCAGGAGGGATTTTGTCCCACTCCTCTTTGCAGATCTTCTCTAAGTCATTAAGGTTTCGAGCCTGACGTTTGGCAACTCGAACCTTTAGCTCCCTCCACAGATTTTCTATGGGATTAAGATCTGGAGACTGGCTAAGCCACTCCAGGACCTTAATATGCTTCTTCTTGAGCCACTCCTTTGTTGCCTTGGCCGTGTGTTTTGGGTCATTGTCATGCTGGAATACCTATCCACGACCCATTTTCAATGCCCTGGCTGAGGGAAAGAGGTTCTCACCCAAGATTTGACGGTACATGGCGCCGTCCATCGTCCCTTTGATGCGGTGAAGTTGTCTTGTCCCCTTTGCAGAGAAAACACCCCCAAAGCATAATGTTTCCACCTCCATGTTTGACGGTGGGGATGGTGTTCTTGGGGTCACAGGCAGCATTCCTCCTCCTTCAAACACAGCGAGTTGAGTTGATGACAAAGAGCTCCATTTTGGTCTCATCTGACCACAACACTTTCACCCAGTTCTGCTCTGAATCATTCAGATGTTCATTGGCAAACTTCAGACGGCCCTGTATATGTGCTTTCTTGAGCAGGGGGACCTTGCGGGCGCTGCAGGATTTCAGTCCTTCACGGCGTAGTGTGTTACCAATTGTTTTCTTGGTGACTATGGTCCCAGTTGCCTTGAGATCATTGACAAGATCTTCCCGTGTAGTTCTGGGTTGATTCCTCACCGTTCTAATGATCATTGCAACTCCACAAGGTGAGATCTTGCATGGAGCCCCAGGCCAAGGGAGATTGACTGTTGTCACCTTCTCACCAAGCTGCTTGGCGATGGTCTTGTAGCCCATTCCAGCCTTGTGTAGGTCTAAAATCTTGTCCCTGACATCCTTGGAGAGCTCTTTGGTCTTGGCCATGGTGGAGAGTTTGGAATCTGATTGATTGATTGCTTCTGTGGACAGGTGTCTTTTATACAGGTAACAAACTGAGATTAGGAGTACTCCCTTTAAGAGTGTGCTCCTAATCTCAGCACGTTACCTGTATAAAAGACACCTGGGAGCCAGAAATCTTTCTGATTAGAGAGGTGGTCTAATACTTATTTCCCTCTTTAAAATGCAAATCAATTTATAACATTTTTGACATTAGTTCTTCTGGATTTTTTTGTTGTTATTCTGTCTCTCACTGTTCAAATAACCCTACCATTAAAATTATAGACTGATCATTTCTTTGTCAGTGGGCAAACGTACAAAATCAGCAGGGGATCAAATACTTTTTTCCCTCACTGTATCTGTCTTTGCAGGTATTTTCAACAGAGCATTAGTGTAACTATACTGAACAAAAACATAAACGCAACATGTAAAGTGTTGGTCCCATGTTTCATGAGCTGAAATAAATTATCTCCGAAATTTTCCATACGCACAAAAAGCTTATTTAGCTCAAATTTGGTGCACAAATTTGTTTACATCCCTGTTAGTGAGAATGTTTCCTTTGCCAAGATAATCCATCCACCTGAGGTGTGGCATATCAAGAAGCTGATTAAACAGCATGATCATTACACAGGTGCACCTTGTGCTGGGGATAATAAAAGCCCACTCTAAAATGTGCAGTTTTGTCACACAACACAACCCCACAGATGTCTCAAGTTTTGAGGGAGTGTGCAACAACCAGAGTTGTTGCCAGATAATGTTCATTTCTCTACCATAAGCCGCCTCCAACGTTGTTTTAGAGAATTTGTCAGTACGTCCAACCGGCCTCACAACCGCAGACCACGTGTAACCATGCCAGCCCAGGACCTCCACATCTGGCTTCTTCACCTGCGGGATCGTCTGTGACCAGCTACCCAGACAGTCTGTAATAAAGCCCTTTTGTGGGGGAAAACTCATTCTGATTGGTTTGGCCTGGCTCTCCAGTGGGTGGGCCTAGCTCCCAAGTGGGTGGGCCTATGCCCTCCCAGGCCCACCCATGGCTGTGCCCCTGCCCAGTCGTGAAATCCATAGATTAGAGCCTAATGAATTTATTTTAATTGACTGATTTCCTTATATGAACTGTAACTCAGTAAAATCCCTGAAATTGTTGCATGTTGCATTTATATTTTTGTTCAGTATAATAATGAGGCAAAGTTTTCCCTGATGATTATAAAATAGGCCTACTGAAAAACACAAACATTGAAACTAGATTTATCATCACTCACCAAATATTTGTCTGGATCATTTGAATCAATGGAAGGAAAATGCTCCTGTATCACAAAGTCCAACAATTTCCTGAAAATGAAAACATTTCATGTCCAGAGTTAGAAAGGTTCCCTATTCACGCCAGCTGTCATACATTTCATGATGATACATTTATGATATGTGTATGTTGATACAGTATGTTGATTCTTTGTTTCTGTATTATTCTGTATGTTATTATGTATGTTATTATGTATTCACACCTGTCTGTGCCCCTCGTGAGGAAAGAAATAAGTCAAATAAACAGTTGGTCACAAAAAACAAGATTAGTGTATGCTAACCTTAAAAGATCAAGCTCTTCAGCTTTAGCCAGAATCTCCAATGATCCAATCCGGAACCATGACGTGGCCAGCCGCAGAACAACCGCTCCTGGGGAGAGAGCATCCAAAGATTATGTCAGGAAGGGAAAATATTCATTTACATTTTAGTCATTTAGCAGACGCTCTTATCCAGTGCGACTAATAGTTGGTGCATTCAACTTAAGATAGCTAGGTGAGACAACCACATATCTCAGTCATAGTAGCACATTTTCCCCCAATAAAGATGCTATCAGCAAAGTCTGTGCTAGTAAGAAAAGAAAAGTGTGAGTGTTAGTGCAAGAAAGGCAAGTTAGTGCAAGATATGGCTTGGCACACGTTTTTGCCATATGTATGCATAAAAAAAGTTAAATATACCTGGGTCCAGCTAAGATAACAAGAAACCAGTCAACAAATAACATACTGTATTAAAAATATATATACAGTATATTTAATACTTTTAGGTCACACATTACTTACATGCTTCAGAAGATTAAAAAATTATCTTCTAAATAACATATTTAACCTAAAGAAATCTATGTGGAAAGTACAATTATGCCAATGTGTGCTGTATGCACGAGTCTGCACACTGAGTAGCAAAAGGGGAGGCTGCCCCTAAGAGAATAAGGACACAACTAATCTTGGCCCTTACCTCTCTCCTTCTTTACTTCCCCATTGTAGAACTGGTCCCTCCACACTGCCTCTTCACTTACAATAAGGCTTGGAGATATAGGCAACACATTTTACAACAAAGAATACACAGAAAAACGTCATAGCAACCAACACTACATCCATCCTCTTCCAAGTTTACAATGATCCCACACTCAAAGCTTAACCCAAAACATGCTTGACCCCTAGCTGTCACCAAAAGGATGATACCCAATTGAGCAGCTGTCAACACGTCCAGTCTGGTAGTTCATCTCAATCATGTTGAAACAGCTGATGGCTGGAACAGAAGGGGTTTCCCAGTGATCTGAATGATAACATTAAAGGTCCTCGGGTAGACCTAGGTTGAGTTCCTGCCCAACTACATTGCTGACGCATGCAAGACCTTATAATGCTTCAATAGGTATTTAACATATCAGCTAACCACATCATATGATATAGCCACCTGCTGCCCAACTGCACAGTCAATGACGTGGCACGTAACCATTGGTTGATACAATGCAACGCCTGCGCATCTAGTCGGACAGGAACTCGACCAGAGGAGGCTGGTGGGAGGAGCTATAGGAGGACGGGTTCATTGGAATGGCTGGAATCTAACCAATGGAATGGTACCAAACACATCAAACACATGGAAACAACATGTTTGACTCCGTTCCATTGATTCCATTCCAGCATTACAATGAGCCTGCCCTCCTATAAGCTCCTCCCACCAGCCACCTCTGAACTCAACCCCACTGTTGTATCTGTTCTGTGTGTTGATGTTAGCAATATAGGCCATCTGCACTCACCTCTCACTGTTTATCCAATGGATTAGCCCTAGACTCTGATTCAACATTAATATTTTATTTTTTGCTGAGAAGATCATAGACTACATTGTTGAGAATAGGCAGCAATCTAAAACAATGAAATATACATTTAATTGTGAAGAATGAAGGGGTCATTTTGGAGTCTCGTGTTTTTATCTTCTGAGATTTTTGGATGGAGTGAGATTTATTTTGATAGAGAAAGGGAGCTAAAACCATAGAGATATGTACTCATCATGGATATAATCAGTTTTAGCATGGACGTTGCCATCATCCACCATTTTAAAGTAGTCAAGTAGACAACTGGGTGGGGATTCCTATGGGTTGTAGCCTCAATGGCGCTGCCCATGCTGTCACAGATGCTATAATGGCACTGATATAAAGATGTCCTCTATCTATCTCTATGGCTAAAACTCTGTTTGAGTTGTATATCAAAGTGCTTTATTGTATCGAACAATTGTATTGTAGTGTAGTGTTTGACAGACAGCAGTCAAAGCAGCTCATTTGCCGGGTTACCTGGCAGCTCTGCTGGTAGGAACACCCAGGAAGTGCATGGCCTCACTGCAGAGGAACTCTCTGACTGAGGAGCGGACCACAGCACGGCCATCTCCTGACCTGTAGTACAACAGACAACCTTTCTCAGAAGGTTTTCTTGGACCCAATCCCAAATCGACCCCTAGACCATACGCCCTATGCACTTGGGGAGATCTGAGAGGATTTAATGGGCCTAAGCAATATGGTAAAACTTCCTCCTAACCTATCAGAGGGCAAGCTGGAACTATTACCAAATTGCTTACACTTACATCCTCTCAGATCTCCACAAGTGTATAGGACATAGGGTGTAGGGGTCTATTTGGGATTGGGCCTCATTGTTAGAAATGTTGCACCTGTTGTCATGGTCTGTAAAATATAAAAGTGTAGAATTGACCTTGAATATGGAGTCTTTCCAGAGCCTTTGAGCTGGAGTTCCCATCTTTCACCCTTTCTGTGGCAAAACACACACAAGATAACTCATTTGTACCCTGCTGGCAAAGCAGGTTGAAATGCTGTCATTACAACCTCAACCTTCTGTGTAGTCATGTATCCATTCCCAATTCTACTGACCTGCTAGTATATTCACCAAGGAGATGTGCTCGACCATCTCCTAACTGACCTGCCCAGTACCCAAACTAAAAGAGTAAAGAAAACATCACAAGTATTTAGTCATAAACAAGTAGGCTCTTCAAGGGTCAATATGGTATTAGGAGGGACTAATTCATAATGGCATAGAGATGGTACAATACCTGGTGACCCCCATATCTGTGTGTCAGAGGGCTGGATCCAGGAAAAAGTCTACCACCACTGAAGTACTGTAGGAAATTCTCTGACTGGGACACAGCAACATCTAGATCCAACATTCCCTCAATTACCTCCTGGAAAAACAAAGCTACATTAGAATATGTAGTTGCTTCCTTCTATTAAGCTGCTATGACAGTGTTATAACACTGTTATGTTAGGTTAATTCACATCCATTGTAAACCACATTTCTTGACAATATCTAGTCCCTGGAAGTCATATGCAAAATGACCTTAGAAACAGCCACAAGTCTCAGAGGGCCTTTGAGTGGGGTTGGGTCAGACTCTGAAAAAATGCAGTTCTTCACAGAGCGAACAAAGATGCCATCCACTTGATCAAGGGGGAAGGCTTCTGCAAGAAAAGTCAAACAAAGTTATTTACAAATCTGTTTGATCATGCATACTGTCAAAACTTTGCTGGGTATTTGGTTGACAAATAATGCAATTCTGAGGGATTTACCTATTAGCTTTTTACATGACAGTTTGAAGTGGTCAAAATCGTGCAAGTGTTTCTCCACACTCTTGTTGAAGTTGAAAGCATGAATGTAGTGTTGTCTGTCTGACACAGTGTCATCATGACTTTGACAGCTTTCAATAGTATCACAATAGTCCATACATGCAGACATGATGATTAGGTTTGCCAAACCTAAGAGAACATAGCTTGAGGCACTGTAAATAACCATCATTGCAACTCAAATGTACCTAGTTAGCAAACCTGACAGCTGATTGCTGGCTACAAAACCACCATTAGTTAGTTAACTCTCTGAATTGATGAGATCCACACTGCATGATCCATATGACATAAGAGACTATCAAGTTTCTCAACTATCTCGTGCATTCCTCTTTTTGTGGCACCTAACCATCACAGAAGACATTAACTTTACAGTGAGACAGTGGTATACTCTCTACTAAAGCACTTTACAATACAACAAAAGAGGAATTGTTTTTTGCTGCAGAATACTTCCTGATTTTTAAAACGTCATGACGTCAACCAACGTAATTTGCGTTCTTCCGCTTCCGGCGTCACGTTGTATAATATTTTCCAGGGATGTGTGGTGGAACATGGCGATACCGTGGAGGCTCTGTTGGAGGTGGACTACAGGCGCTACGAGTACACGTGTACTAGAAACCATATGCGGTTTTAATGGAAGGTCTGCTACGTTTGCTGCCTCGTCTCTCCGAGGAACGGGGGCCGTCGCTTGCTCGGGATATGAGGTAGATATCGTGCGCGCGTGTCAGTGCCAATATTTCGCCGGGCGGGCGTGCTGTCAACCCAAGGAAGGTCAACCGGTATTTAACATGGAATCTGCAAGCTGATCTTATCTTATTGAATGAGCTATAGCTTGCCTGGTGTAGCTATATTGGGATTTAGTCCAGTTTATTCCAGTTGTAGTAGCGAACAAAAAACATCTATATTTTATGAAGGACATTGGTTTTGTGGGTATAGTTACAACAAAGATTGTTGCTATTTGACAAGATGGTTTGGAGTTCTAGCTAGCCATACCATACATCTTGCTGGTTTGTTCTGCAGTCTCAGTTTAGCTAAAGGTCAAGACAATTCATGTCATTGCAGGGCTACACTGTACTAAGCCTTGCACTTGATTTATCTCACTGACTTAACCCTTTTAGTTCAGAAGGGACACTAGGTTATAGGGTTGGGCAGATATATGATTACATTTAATAATATGATATTTGACATTGACGATATGTCGTGATGTGCAATACCATACTCTATTCCCCTCAAACTAAGCAAGTGCCACTTCGTTTTTTCATTGTTCCCCTCTAATCAGGGACTGATTTAGACCTGGAACACCAGGTGGGTGGAATTAATTATCAGGTAGAACAGAGAACCAGCAGGCTCCGGACCTTGTAGGGTAAGAGTTGAATACCCCTGCTCTATTTGAACTTTACAAATCAAAACTGTGCAGTTTGATCAGTTAGGCTGTATCAAATATGTTTATTCAATTTTTTTTTGCATATTTACGATATTATAAAGTCTGGAATCATCTAGTCATTAACGGCACAAAACGATTATATAGGATATCGCAATATTTGGAGTAACTTATCATAGAAGAGGTCTCCCCAAATATCTCCCAACCCTACCATGTTATTACTAGACAGAACTGTCAGTGGGTAGCCTACATTGCTTGGTCAAGTGTATGTGGTTCATAGCCTAGAATAACCTCAACTAGGCTACCTCATAACATTATGTCCTTCAGTAACCTGAGTAAAAGTTGTCAAATGCTCGCCTGACTAAAGGTTTGGCTACATGTGCTCAAGTTGTTGTGCTCAGGTTATTCATTTGTGACATTGATTTATTTCAGGGGATGTCTTCCAGGCCTGTACACACAACCTCAAAAGGCAACTATATTCTGACAAGGTGAGTCTGAGATTGAAATATCATATGCAGTAATTTATATAGATAGAGATATGATATATGGATGCAGTAATTGTTATATTTATGTGTGCATATTTATTTTCCAGTAGGCACAAATCAAGGTTGCTTTACCCCACACCAAAGCCTTGCTGCTGCAAAAGGATACACAGTGATGCCAAGTTGAAGGACCCGTTCACACTAGCCCAAAAAGACTTGAATCATTTGTATGATGATATTAAAAAGGTAAGTCATGTGACTTTGTCGTCATGTAGCATGGCTACAGTGTCATGCGCGTCTTACTTTGTCTCATATAGCTTATATGCACAGTTCAGACTACTGTTACTGATATTAAAGTTACTTAACCCCAATAAAGGTGTCTTTTCTGTTCTTCACAGGAGCTTTTTGTGTCCAAATCAGAGCTGAAGTCCTTATGTGACTACTACTTTGACGGGAAGGGCAAGGCCTTCCGACCCATGATAGTGGTGCTGATGGCCCGGGCCTGCAATATTCACAGCAACAGAGATGGGTAAGATACTATCCTGGGTATAGTGCAGTGAACTCGGTAGGTAGTATGTGAACTAGGTACATACATACTTGGTAGTAATGTATGTAGCCTTATGGTGTACAAGAGGCAGACTTGGGTGAGAAACTATGCTAATTAAATGCATCTATCTAGCACACACACCAGGAACAACTTGTCACAAGTGACTGGGGAGAATACACATTTTAGAAAGGTAAGATAGGCTGTACCCTTTGATTGCTGTTTATGACTTCATTGCCGGAGATGGCTGTAGGCTATTACAGTCTAAATGAATCATGCACATGCTATTCCATTGCAATAACCATTTCATAAAATGATTCATTCAGGCTGCCCATATCAGTGATTGTCGATTGAACCAATATGTGTGAGCAAGGTCTGACTATGTAGTTCTCTGTCTGTCTGTGTAGAGATCTGCTCCCAGGCCAGCGGTCCATAGCTATGATCTCTGAAATGATCCACACTGCCAGCCTGGTCCACGATGATGTCATCGACGGCTCGGACAAGCGGAGGGGGAAGACTACCATCAATGAAGTGTGGGGGGAGCGAAAGGTGACCCGAGTCCTCCGAACTAGGGTTGTCTGTTAGCAGTAGCCAGTCATGTTGTCATATACACGCTACTCAACAACAATATATGCAGTTCATGTTATTGAGGAAAATTGTCATATGAAATGACCCCAGTTATCTTGAAAAGGTGCCAGACTAACACCTTTCTGTAATGTATCTTATGACAAACTAATACACCCTTACTAGTTGTAAGATCATATGGTTTTGTTAATCATGTGTTCTATATACTCTCCCAGGCCATTTTAGCTGGAGACTTCATCCTCTCGGCAGCCTCCATGGCTCTGGCCCGTATCGGCAACAACACGGTGGTGTCAGTGCTGTCTCAGGTCATAGAGGATCTGGTGCGAGGTAAGGACCCATGCAACAGTAAGTTGCGCAATATCATTGTTGCATTGCACAAGAAATGCAGTCCGTTACAGTTTAAACAGTTGATTTTTATCTGTTACCTTGGCTGTTTCAGTTACTGTACACTTTAACAGAACTACACTTTGAGTTTTCAGTTTCGCTTATCACCATTACCTGCCCTTTTACAGTCAAGATTGTTGTAATGCAACGCTTCTGATTCTGTAAGGGGAAATGAGGAATCAACGTTCAAGATTACCAAAGCGTATAGGAAATGCTATCTCTGTTCACACTAATATATTTGTTGATGTTCCAGGGGAATTCATGCAGCTGGGCTCCAAGGAAAACGAGAATGAGAGATTTAAGCACTACCTCGAGAAGAACTTCAAGAAGACTGCCAGTCTTATTGCGAAACAGTTGTAAAGCAGTATGTACGTTCTATCTCGACAACAATAACAGACTTCCAGGAAGTCTTAGGGCAGAACTGAAAAGGTCTGTGTTGACTGGTTGTCATTTTCCATTCAAGGTGTCTATTCTGGTGAACTCGGATCCAGAGGTACATGAAATAGCCTTTCAGTACGGCAGGAACGTAGGCATTGCCTTTCAGGTACATTTCAAAATTTGCTTTTGCCTCTTGAATGGGTGTCGTATAATATTCTTATTTATTTTATATTTATTTTATAAATGAATTTAAGAATGAAATGTGTAAGTTTTTGAAGTTGACTTAATGTTAATTCTGTGTGTCCTAGCTGGTGGATGATGTGCTGGACTTCACAGCATGTGCCAGCCAGCTAGGAAAGCCTTCGGCTACAGACCTTAAGCTGGGCCTGGCCACCGGACCAGTCCTGTTTGCCTGTCAACAGGTGTGTTATTGTGCACATCTTCCATTTATTGAAGGAAAAAGTTGAACAGTCAACATTTAGCTTCCCATATGGGAAATTAATAACTTTTCTGGTTACTGTCCAACATTGCTATTTCTAGATTGAATCACAGTGACTGATTAGTCTATATATATATATATATATATATATATATATATATATATATATGTATATATATGTATATATATGTATATATATGTATATATATGTATATATATGTATATATATATATATATATATGTGTGTATATAATATGCCTAATTGCGTAGTCTGTGACAGTGTATTTTACCGTTTCCTCTTTAGTTTCCTGAGCTGCATGCTATGATCATGAGGAGGTTCAGCACCAGTGGAGACGTGGATCGGGCCTGGCAGTATGTCCTGGAGGTAAGGCTGTTGATGAAGATGGATGGACACATTTCTACCTTTGTGAGAATTGCGTGTATAAAAACACAATCTAAAAATACTATTGGTCTTATGATTATGTAGTCTGCCTTTGCATTGTTTGCTCTTTGGTGTTTTAGGCTGGGTGTCTGTAAAGCACTTTGTAAAAAGGGCTGATGTAAAAAGGGCTTTATAAAATAAGTTTATAAAATACACCCGCCTGGTTTCTCCTTCCCTCAGAGTGATGGTGTGGATCAGACCAACTACCTGGCCCAGCGCTACTGCCAGGAGGCCATCCGGCAGATCAGCCTGCTTAGGCCCTCCCCGGAACGGGACGCCCTCATCAGGCTCACCGAGATGGTCCTCACCCGCGACAAGTGAGCCCCCACCCCCAAGCTTCACTTCAGGCAGCTACCTGTCCTGTGGAAGGGCCTCCATGGAAGGTTAGATGCCGGGATGAGGAGGGGGAAGATGGTTAATGTTACATCTGTGATATTCCCAGTGGGTCCTGATGGAGCACTGTTTATGCAGGTTTTTGTACATAACTAAGTTAAAGGTGGAACTAAACGGTGCATATACAGGTTCTTCAGGACTGACTTCTGAGATGCACTGCTTCACATTACCCATGGCTTCTTTCTCCCCTCTGGAAAACCCTTAGGGGCTCACAGAACAGAGTGATATGTTATTGACACCAGTGGTTTTCAATGCCAGTTCTGTAGGACCCCTTTCTCTACAGGTTTCTGAACCAACCCCCACCTATTCTTCAATTGAACTTCAACAAAGCGTTCAAATAGCACATCAATGAGGATTGAACACAGAACTGTTTGCACAGGGACCCTCCAGGATCATTGTTGAAAATCGCTGATTTACATGATTTTCACTGTATACAGTACTGTAAATGCAGCCACCGCCCTACCTCCAACTGGCAGACTGTATTGTCATCAAAGGCAGTTATTACACGCAAGGCTTGGGCTGGAATGGACCCTGCAGAATCATTGTAATTCCATGATGAGTCAAGATGGAGTATCATTATGTGTGTGTGAATCTGTATTAAGACGTTGCTCGAAGATCAGTCCGCACCGTAACGGCCAAATGTCAAATGTTTGTCATGGTGACTCGTATCAATTGGAGAATGTTATATTGTAGGTACTTCCTGTCACAAGTGCTTAAAGGTCCCGACCAGTCATTCTGATTCCCATGTAACGTAGCCTTTTGAGTGACTAAAACATCACCCATAATATTTTTACCTGATAAAATATTTTTCTTAAACTTTAAGCATTGTTTTCTCTCATTTCAAACTACCAGGAAGTCTGAAAAGACCGACTCATTGGGTGGGGAGCTAGTAGGCTGTGTGGGCGGGGAGCTCACCTTGACTGGCGGTTCTTGGAAAACGCCAATATCAAGCAACATGGACACAGTGTTACAGCAAACTTGCTGATACACTAAGCAACTCAAACAACATTGAAATTGCATGCAACATCCAATCCTATCATACATCAAATCATGGTTTCACAAATTATTTGTTTATCCTGTTTGGTTATTGTAACAGCATCAATATAGACAAAATGTTGGCTATATAATTTAGCAGGCTAGCCCAAATGGAATTTTCAGCACTGTTTATCACGCTAGCTAGCTGGTTCACCTTGGACAATTTCAGTTGAAACCTTAGTGAGGTCTGGATATTTATTTTTTATGTATATACACTGTGTACAAAACATTAGGAACACCTTCCTAATATTGAGTTGCACCCCCTTTTGCCCTCAGAACAGCCTCAATTTGTGGACTCAACAAGGTGTCAAGAGTTCCACAGGGATGCTGGCCCATGTTGACTCCAATGCTTCCCACAGTGGTGTCAAGTTGACTGGATGTCCTTTGGGTGGTGGACCATTCTCGATACACACGGGAAACTGTTGTGAAAAACCCAGCAGCGTTGCAGTTCTTGACACACAAGTCTTTTGTCTTGACCATTCACCCTCTGAATGGCACACATACACAATCCTTGACTCAAGACTTAAAAATCCTTCTTTATCTTGTCTCCTCCCCTTCATCTACACTGATTTGAAGTGGATTTAACAGGTGACATCAATAAGGGATCATAGCTTTCACCTGGTCAGTTTGTCATGGAAAGAGCAGGTGGTCATAATGTTTTGTACTGTGAGAATGTTCATATCAATGATGTCAAGAAGTTATTGGAATTTTCATTTGGCATGTGTTTTGATGTAATGACATGAACACTGTGTCTGAGTTTTGGGCAACCCATCCCCTGCTTTTGTTCCATGCTTGCTAAAGACATAACTAGCCAGTTACTAGCTAACACCAGACACTTAAATAGGGGAAACCTCTAATTATATTTTGTGACACGTTGCAGCCACATTTTGGCACCAGTAGACTAGCTATGTAAACCATGCCTTCTGTGATGGTGGTTACAAGGCGGTACCTATTTAAATTAGGTAAGAGAATAAGATGTTATCATTGGTGTATTCAAATTAGGCTTTTTGTGATGTCACGAAAAGCCCTTAATAATCCTGCCACCTGAATCCAATTGTTTGACATGGGGAAGAGGATCAGTAACTTCATGATCAAACTTTATCAATGTAGAAGCAACATTCATTTTTCATACTTTAGTAGGCCTACTTTGATCTGGTTTCATCCAAATTTCATGAAAAACAATGATTTTGACTGTTCGGGACCTTTAACAACCAAGGCCTTAACATCCACAATGACTGTACTCAAATTAAAAGTTATTTTTTAAGTCAAGCCTCTATCTTTGTTTTCATTCCCAATTACCACGCCACTAGGTTGTACGTAGGAGAATGGTTTATTATAAAAGACTGTACATACATTTTTCAATGAACATATATATACAAACTAAGGGCAGAGATACAAGCTTGATATTTCTACCCATTGAGCTGGAACACTTGTATATGTTGAATATAACAAAGCAAACAGACAAAGTGTCAAGGCATTAGCTGCTATATCCTGAAATGGTCAACTGTGACAAGCGCAGTTACTTCCATGTTGTTTCAAGTCTGGACAGGAAAGACAATCATATAGGAAGAAACTGTTGAAGTCTACGATTTTGCAGTTTAACCTTAAACTGATAAACACCTACCTGAATTTTCATGAAGCAATCGATAGTCAAATGTCATTCCTAAGGGATAATTACAACTATAAATGAGTATGGACAAAGTGGGTAGGGTCAATTTGGAACAATAAAATAAAAACAACTTGGCATCAAGATATCCAGACCTGAGTTATGAAACCAAACCATAACAGGTTAAAAATTACAATTCTGAAACTATTTTGACTTTTGATCATTGTTGCCATGTGAAGACTGAGGAGGTATCCGAGTTGTCATATTGGTCTCCATTATTACAGAATAGTAAAATGGCAGTGTTTTATGAATATCACGACAAAACAGTTTGGAAACTGAGCCCACGAACACTATGAATTACAATCTTAACCCATGAATAATAGTTTACATTAGATACTTATGCCTACAGATATTTCATTTTGTTCAGATTAGTAAAACATTACTGTGACATTTCTTAAAATGGATATTGAACTCAGTGATGGAAGAAATCATGTAAATGTAATATCAAATGTTTAAATACAAATTAGAGCATTTAGAAAATAAGACCATCACATCAACAAGTCCAAAAATGCCTTTTATATCTAGATAATTCAATCCAAAAAAATGTAAATATTACAACAAAATGATGGAAGCATAATGGCATTAAACGTAGAGGTTATACATTTTTAATTTAGCATGCTTTTACGTCCAGACTTAATTTCAGGAATGACTGAAATAAAACATACAAGTAAAATGTTTTGTTATTCATAAAAAGCTATTTAAGTTTGAATTCAACATCCAAAATGGATCAGCCTTGTGATTGTGAGAACCTTGATTATAGAAAATAAAACAATCTTCTGTTGGACATTTGCATGTGTGGTATGTAGCCTGCTTGAGATACTGTGATTAACAACTGCATTTACACTACAGACACCCAACAGGCTGCAGCTTACTCACATTATATACAATTAACAGTAGTAACACTTCCACTAAAAGGTGTACACACAAGATCACCATAATGCCTACATATGCATTACATGACATCTGACAGACATTTTCTCCATATAGCATAATACTCTTGATACACTCAAAGAAATTAAGATAAGCGCATGAAACATGTATAGGTCAATAGATGTAGACAAACACTAATGAATAGTTGGGTCAGATGTTATGTTGCGCATATGTAGACAGGAAGAACAGAGAATAATCAAACTTGAAATGTCCTTCAGCTAGTGTTACCCTGGTCTTTGAAAACATCTTTACACCACAGCCCTTGTGAGCACGTCAGCAGCCTTATCCTATTCATTCTCTGTATACTTTATAATGTCCCCCAACCCACCCATAACACCTAAGTAAATAGATATTTGTATTTATTTATTTGCAATCAGTATAAGGGAACGAACATTCCGTCATATCCAAAATCACTTCTCTAAGCTTTGTATGGTCAGATTTCTGTTTTAATTGGTCTCTGTGGTAGCCTAGGTATGACTGAATCAATACGCTGTAGTAGGGTGCCTTCAGTCGGCATAGTGCATGATGGACTCTACGTAGTTGCCAGGGAACAGGCCTGTGACTCCGCTGCTTAGGCCCTCGAACCAGCCATCATCGTTCTTCTTGATTATGTAAATGATGGCTCCCTCCATGAAGCTCAGCTCATCGTCTTTATCCGCCGTGTAGTCGTAGATGGCAACCACTGAGGAGGAAAGAGGGGAAAACATCAGTGAGGGGAAATCTCGATTGCATTCCCTTAATTCCTCACGTCCTCTCTCCTTCTCAAAACCCATTGGATGAGGTGGTCAGAGGTCCCGCCCCTCTGACGTTCTCATCCAATGGGTTTTGAGAACAAGGTGAGGAATCAATAATAATAATAATAATAATAATAATAATAATAATAATAAGCCATTTAGCAGACGCTAAATGGCAGACGCTAAATGCAATTGAGATTCTCCCTATTCTAGAAAGGGTTTGCCCTTTGAACCTATTAAGCATGAAAGTGCTTAAGTAGTTGAATAGTGCAGTGTAGATTACATAAATGTGAAGGGTATGGTAGGGAGGGAGAAGAAGAAGAAGAGCAGCATTCAGTGAAGTAGAGTGGTATCGGTATTAAGCCCTGAGGCACACCTTTCTCTATGTAGCTCTTGGGTGCCCACTGGGGGTCTCCGTCAGCATAAGGGTCGCTGTAGTGCACCACAGCTGCTTCCTCTTCCTCCTCGTAGTCAACTGGCGGGGGTGGAGGAGGGGGAGGAGCCTCATCAAACATGGGCAGGTCATCCGGCGGAGGAGGGGGAGGCGGAGTAGGTGTGTCCGCAACTGCCAAACGGCAGTAGAGGAGGGGGAGAGAAATTAGATTAGGAACGCTGCCTGAAACTGGGAGGAAGGAAACAGTACATTAAATGTGGGCTGCACATGCAACCAAGCCCAACTGTACAGAAAAACCATGCAAAACCATGCAATCGTGGCAGAGCAACATGCAGGGGTGTGTATATGCCAGACACCGATGGTTAGTCGGTCAACGACCAAATGCATGACAGCGAGTTGTTGGCATGCTTATTTTGTTCCTCCAGGTCACTTGTTCAAGTCACTTGTTAAGAAATGTAATTTGGTTACAAGTGTTCTTTGCCACTAAGGCAATGCTGCATGTAATGTAAACTTGTTTGGACATTCTATTTCCATCATCTTCCCACAACATTTGAATTCTCTTTTTGTGTTTGTTGTAAAATATCATGAATTATTCATCTCAGTTAGCACGACAAAGAAGTTGCAGGATTACTTGTGACTATCTTAGAGGGATGCAGTACTATACCCACACACACTGAGCTGCAACTACTTTCAATAGAGGGCAGCAGAGAACCCTGTCCTCCTATCAGTCATGTTCCAGAGTGCCAACCCTGCTCCATTTTATGACCCCAAGTCCAAGGAAATGTATTATGATTTACAGGGAAAAGTGCTTTTCTGTGATTTCAAAACAAATCAAATTTTAAAGCCGTCATACTCTTAAGAAACACCAATAAAATTGTGGTATTTCAATTCTGACAGTAACATAAATCTGTTTAACACAGACATAAATCTGTCTAACAATAGCAGGCTAAGCTTCTTTAGCGTTACATAAAAGCATGCACACTATTTCTCTGTTGATCACACGCACAATAAATGTGCATACGTTTAGTCCTTCCGCTCATACAGTGCATTTCTTAGTGAAATTATACTTAACATATGCCTTATCTCACACATGGGACTTTGTGGAAATACCATTTCAGCTGCCAATTCCATTGTACATTTTCCTGAATAATCCTGGAATGGAGCACTGAAGAAAGCAATGGGTGCCAATGGCAATAAGCATGTGTCTGTCTGAGATCACTACTTATTAACACAGACAATAAATGAGGATGATGATATTAAGGATGTTTAGTGTCCAGCATAAGACAGACAAACAGATAGATGAGTGAACAGGCACAAGGCATGCTGCGTGTGATTGACAGATAGAGGTGTTCTACATCTAGTTCTAGATCTACGGAGGTGTTCTACATCAAGTTCTAAATCTATGGAGATGTTCTACGGAAGTGTTCTACATCTAGTTCTAGATCTATGGAGATGTTCTACATCTAGTTCTAGATCTAGTTCTAGATCTATGGAGATGTTCTACATCTAGTTCTAGATGTATGGAGGTGTTCTACATCAAGTTCTAGATCTATGGAGATGTTCTACATCTAGTTCTACGGAGGTGTTCTAGATCTACGGAGGTGTTCTACATCTAGTTCTAGATCTATGGAGATGTTCTACATCTAGTTCTAGATCTATGGAGATGTTCTACATCTAGTTCTAGATCTATGGAGATGTTCTACATCTAGTTCTAGATGTATGGAGGTGTTCTAGCTCTATGTGGGTGTTCTAGATCTATGGAGGCGTTCTAGATCTAGGGGGAAAAGGAGAGCGTGTGTTGGGCCTCAGGACTTACTGTTCTCCTGCACCCTGGCCACAAAGCCTGTCAGAGGTATCTGTGGAGTCAGCTGGGGCATGGGGGGAGGAGGTGGAGCAATAGACACTGGAAGCCGCCACACACACACAAAACAAAATAGAGAAAGCAAGGATATAAAGTAGACAGAGAGGACAAAGAGGAGTACAGATATCAGTCACCCAGAACAGACAGAATACCCCAACCCAAGTCAATGCAATCCTAAATATTAAGTGAAACAGACATAGTACCCCAACCCAAGTCAATGCAATCCTAAATATTAAGTGAAACAGACATAGTACCCCAACCCAAGTGAATGCAATCCTAAATATTAAGTGAAACAGACATAGTACCCCAACCCAAGTGAATGCAATCCTAAATATTAAGTGAAACAGACATAGTACCCCAACCCAAGTGAATGCAATCCTAAATATTAAGTGAAACAGACATAGTACCCCAACCCAAGTGAATGCAATCCTAAATATTAAGTGAAACAGACATAGTACCCCAACCCAAGTGAATGCAATCCTAAATATTAAGTGAAACAGACATAGTACCCCAACCCAAGTGAATGCAATCCTAAATATTAAGTGAAACAGACATAGTACCCCAACCCAAGTGAATGCAATCCTAAATATTAAGTGAAACAGACATAGTACCCCAACCCAAGTGAATGCAATCCTAAATATTAAGTGAAACAGACATAGTACCCCAACCCAAGTGAATGCAATCCTAAATATTAAGTGAAACAGACATAGTACCCCAACCCAAGTCAATGCTATCCTAAATATTAAGTGAAACAGACAGAGTACCCCAACCCAAGTGAATGCAATCCTAAATATTAAGTGAAACAGACATAGTACCCCAACCCAAGTCAATGCTATCCTAAATATTAAGTGAAACAGACAGAGTACCCCAACCCAAGTCAATACTATCATTGCAAGAATTAAGAGACACGCACGTTGCAAGGTTAGTCATGAGTTTTGTGCACTTCTACAAGGAAATGTGTGTAATATGTGTACTAAGAGACAAAGCATAGAAACAGAGTCTATGCTTGGGGTTTTTAGTCCAGAGACTGAGTCCAGATCTCCCCAGGTATTCAGTGGTGGTACAGATTGAGGGATTAAAAAGGGATTAGGTTTGATTGTTGTTGCTATTTCCTGCTCCTAATCACAATCTGAATGAGATGATTGTAGCGTCGGCACACGTCCAGAGAGAGGTGCTGTGTGCAACCCTAATAACCCTGGCTCTCAATGAACCGAGTTACATTCACAAACAGTGGCGTGAAGAGTGCCACCATCTTAAAATAACCTGTAAACCTTAGAGGTCAGCGTCAGGGACAACGCACTCGTCACATCAGTTTATAAGGAATTGGGTGCCATTTTGGACGCAGTTCAGGTGGAAGAGAGAGAGTGTGTGTGTGTGTTTAGCATGTTGCAAATGTCCACACTGCCTACATTTATCTTGTGACAGTTTGATGTTTCTGTCTGAAATCAAATAAGAATGTTATGACATTTTTGACATGATTGGGGCAATATTAAAATCATTCAATGCCATCCCAAATAGGCTACTGATAATGGTGGTTTAAGCTTGCTCTTGATCTATAGGCTTTTGAGGTCAACCCCATGCCCAAGTCATGATCTTTACTGAACCAAGCATGTGATGCCACCTCCATACACTCCACCCATATGCTTGGAGAAGTGTCTCATTGACAGCTGCATGAGGTCATGCTATGGAACAGCCACTGGTTCATGATGTCACTGTCTTCCTCCTCCTATATTATGTGGGTGCATCCCAAATGACAACCTATTCCCTATAAAGTGCACTACTTTTGACCAGAGTCCTATGGGGAATAGGGAGCCACTTGGGACACAACCCGTGTCCTCTTAGTGCTGACGGATCTTACCATCCAAATGACAAACCTCTGCACACTGTGATGCCTGTTAACATTGTGATAGGAAGATTTAACGCCAGCCGGTCTTTTACAGGGCAAGTGAATGAGAGAGAGGAGTCGAATCTCAATTCAAAACAGCACAGGTGGCTGCTGCCGGCTTGAGTTTCTCACATTTTATTCTAAATCCTTTTAGCTTTTCCAGGACTTAATGACATTATTGAGTTCAGTACGCCTGCACATCACCAAGCCTGTGTGTGTGTGTCGTCCCACTTGAGTTCGTGTTGAAGGGTACAGGACATGACTAAAAATAAACACTGTGCTGAATGGACACCTTGAGCTGGAGTCACCTTGTGGAAGCTGGCTAGTACATTTTGGGAAATGGGGAGAAAGGGAAAATATATTAAAACAGTTGTGAAAACACTAAGAAATTGTGATTTAAGAAAACTTCAGATCGTACTTAAACGGAGACCAAAAAGCAGCGACTCTGCAGTCCTTGCATACAGTGCCTTGCAAACGTATTCATCCCCCTTGGCGTTTTTCCTATTTTGTTGCATTACAACCTGTAATTTAAATGGATTCTTATTTGGATTTAATGTAATGGACATACACAAAATAGTCCAAATTGGTGAAGTGAAAAAAATTACATGTTTCAAAAGATTATACTAAATAAATAACGGAAAAGTGGTGCGTGCATATGTATTCACCCCCTTTACTATGAAGCCCCTAAATAAGATCTGGTGCAACCAATTACCTTCAGAAGTCACATAATTAGTTAAATAAAGTCCACCTGTGTGCAATCTAAGTGTCACATGATCTGTCACATTATCTCAGTATATATACACCTGTTCTGAAAGGCCCCAGAGTCTGCAACACCACTAAGCAAGGGGCACCACCAAGCAAGCGGCACCATGAAGACCAAGGAGCTCTCCAAACAGGTCAGGGACAAAGTTGTGGAGAAGTACAGATCAGGGTTGGGTTATAAAAAAAATATACGAAACTTTGAACATCCCACGGAGCACCATTAAAGCCATTATTAAAAAATGGAAAGAATATGGCACCACAACAAACCTGCCAAGAGAGGGCCGCTCACCAAAACTCACGGACCAGGCAAGGAGGGCATTAATCAGAGAGGCAACAAAGAGTCCAAAGATACCTGAAGGAGCTGCAAAGCTCCACAGCGGAGAATGGAGTATCTGTCCATAGGACCACTTTAAGCTGTACACTCCACAGAGCTGGGCTTTACGGAAGAGTGGGCAGAAAAAAGCCATTGCTTAAAGAAAAAAATAAGCAAACACGTTTGGTGTTTGCCAAAAGGCATGTGGGAGACTCCCCAAACATATGGAAGAAGGTACTCTGGTCAGATGAGACTAAAATTGAGCTTTTTGGCCATCAAGGAAAACGCTATGTCTGGCGCAAACCCAACACCTCTCATCACCCCGAGAACACCATCCCCACAGTGGAGCATGGTGGTGGCAGCATCATGCTGTGGGGATGTTTTTCATCGGCAGGGACTGGGAAACTGGTCAGAATTGAAGGAATGATGGATGGCGGTAAATACAGGGAAATTCTTGAGGGAAACCTGTTTCAGTCTTTCAGAGATTTGAGACTGGGACGGAGGTTCACCTTCCAGCAGGACAATTACACTAAGCATACTTCTAAAGCAACAAACGAGTGGTTCAAGGGGAAACATTTAAATGTCTTGGAATGGCCTAGTCAAAGCCCAGACCTCAATCCAATTGAGAATCTGTGGTATGACTTTAAGATTGCTGTACACCAGCGGAACCCATCCAACTTGAAGGAGCTGGAGCAGTTTTGCCTTGAAGAATGGGCAAAAATCCCAGTGGCTAGATGTGCCAAGCTTATAGAGACATACCCCAAGAGACTTGCAGCTGTAATTGCTGCAAAAGGTGGTGAATAGTTATGCATGCTGAAGTTCTGTTTTTTTGTCTTCTTTCTTGTTTGTTTCACAAGAAAATATTTTGCATCTTCAAAGTGGTAGGCATGTTGTGTAAATCAAATGACACAAACCCCCCCAAAAATCAATTTTAATTCCAGGTTGTAAGGCAACAAAATAGGAAAAATGCCAAGGGGGGTGAATACTTTCGCAAGCCACTGTATATCGATTGCCTGGATTGTATCAGCTGGAAAATCCGAGGACAAGAAAGCATTCTTCGTCAATGCACAAGACGTTCACCAGAGAGAAATACATACGTTAACCTGCACTTTGAGACAGGAGGCAAGTTAATACTACTGCTTTGAAGAAACTACCCTTCAGGACAAAGTAACCGTCACCACCGCCGGCATTTAACAACAAACCCAACAACGCTGGCCTGCAAAGCTTATCACAGTTTAGAACGTGGACGACACAGACATCTGATCGTTTCCATTTCCTGTGTACATGTAGTATTTGTGTACCAGAGGGACATGCTAGGTGACATACTGATGTAGTCACAGTGATGTAATCAGCTTCTGTGGCACCCAGTGAGAATTGCAGAACTCAACAGTGGGGAGTGAACCCTGTTCTAAGAGAGTGATATAGTGTATCTCCCCTTTGCTAGGAGTTCATGGGGGAAACTATCCATCTCCCGTCTAATAGACGGGTGTTGGTGGGGGGGGACGTGAGCATCTTACTTGAGTTGTGGGGGTAGGCGGGGGTGCCCCCGTTAATGTACGGCTGCTGTATCTGCTGCTGTTGTTGAAGCTGTAGGGCCTGCTGCTGCTGCAGGGAGAACTGGGAGGTGACGGACGGCGCCCGGCGGTAGGTGCCCGTGGCCGAAACCATGGAGACCGAGGAGGTGGTGGAGTTGTGCCGCGAGATCTGCCTTGAGATGGTGCCGAACTGGGACATGGGGATGGGGCCCAGACCAGGCCCGGGAGTCACCGCTGGAGTAGAAACACCCACAGAAAGAGAGAGAGAAAGAAAGGGATAGAGGAGGGGAGGGAGAGTCAGAGAGGAGGGGAGAGAGAGTCAGAGAGGAGGGGAGGGAGAGTCAGAGAGGAGGGGAGGGAGAGTCAGAGAGGAGGGGAGGGAGAGTCAGAGAGAGGAAGGGAGAGGTAATTACAAAGGGGAGGACAGAAAGAGGGAGAGAGAACCCAGCAAATGAATCAGCGACACCCAATAACAGAGTAGACCCAAAATCGACAGAGCAATCATTGGATCCCCAAAGCAACTGAACCACCTGCATCACCACCAATCACAGAGACCCAGAAGAGGGAAGGGGGAGGGACAGGCAACACCACAGCCAATCCTGATGGAGAAGTCATAATGTAAAGGAGTCATGAGGAGTGCTCCACTGTTGATTTATGCCTGGATGTGTTCCTTTAGTGCAAAAATGTTTACTTCCATCTATCATTGGCTACAATCACAAAACCTCTACCCTAAAAGCATGCTTGATATAATCATGATTACTTGTGCACCAATGTACATTTGTTTTGTAAAAGAGGCAGGGGAGAATAGAAGACATGATTTGAGGCTAGAAGGAGGCAGTTAAAAGGGGATAGCTCCTTAGGCTTCCCCTGGGGCGTTCTGTCACTCCACTGTAAATGGGTTTTGGGCTCAATGCAATTGAACCTGCATTGCAGTATTTACACAGTGACACACGTTCTTTGCCTTATTCAAATGAAATTGCAGGACTTTTTGGATGATATAAAAATGTGCACTAGATAGACACGTCACAGGTAGATTTAGTTATACGGTATGAGGAAGTTTTCAGAAGTACACACATTTTAAGCATACACAAGGTTTGCGGCACAGTGTTCAAATTTCAGTATAGATTTAATTTACACCGACTACAACCAATCCATTTGGTTTTCTAGAAGCCTGCCATTTGTCACACGTCAGCATTTTCACAACAATAAATATTACTACAGCAGTTAAACATATTTCATGATTGTGTCGTCAAACATATTTCAATGAGGGAGTGCGTGTGTGTGGATGAGTGAGTGTGCAGTAAATATGAAAGTGTGTGTGTGTGTAGAATGTGTTTTCCTCTAGTTGGATATTTCCTGTTGACTGGGTCAGATAACAGTAGCTCTCTGGAGAAGCTCTCCTCTCAGATACTGGTGAGTGAGTGTGTATGTGAGTGTGAGTGTAGAATGATCACAGTAGCTCTCTGGAGAAGCCCTCCTCTCAGATATTGATGGGTGGAACCGGAACAAGTTTGGACTCAGGGGAACAGGCCATGGAGTAAACATATAGATGAAAACATGTCCAGAATGTCCCTTTGACTGACCCTTGGTCTCTACGCCCAGTTACAAGAAAATAAACCATAAGTGACTTGTGGTAGCAAGCCGACTAATTGTGACATGTTTTCCAATGGGAAAAGCTAACCGTTACCATATGGTTTAGACCTGAGGAAAGAGTTAATAAGTATGGACCCCACAATTCTACTGTTGTTTGATGACCTGAGGAAAAAATAGTTTATTTCTCGATTTGTAGCAGTTTGTTGTTGTTGTAGCGGCCATCTTGAATGATAGCACAGGCTCATAGCAGGGTTATGTCAGTTGTCATAATTGGTATGTTGGTTGTCACGACATGTTGTAACATTGCTGCATCCCTGACAGTCACATCACTCAACCATAAGACACAATCTGTAACATTGCACATTGATAGTACATCCAAAAACCCATACAGCCATACATGAAGACGAAGGTCCATATTCACAAAGCATCTCGGAGTAGGAGTGCTGATCTGGGATCAGGTCCCTTTTGTCCATATAATCTTATTCATTATGATAAAAAAAAGGCTAACCTGATCCTATATCAGCACTCCTACTCTGAGACACTTGATACATACAGTCCCTGTACATTAAAGCTATGACAATCAATCAAATCAAACCCTTCACACACTGCTTTGGAAAACCCAACAGTCCCATAAGACACACACCACCACAATGGAACAGATACAAGCCGATTTAACGGACTTCATATTATGACCCGAGACATTGAGTCAAATCAACCACACATACATAATTTCAATGCAGCTGGTCATTGGTTGATTAGCACCTGTTCAGAAGAAGTCTCTTCCCTGTTCCCTTATCAAAGTGTTTTGGAACTGGCATTTGGAAGATTTGTAAATATATCTGTGTGGTCATTTTGAACTTTGTAAAATCAATTGAACAAAGTAAATAGGGGTTGGTAATTTAATCAAATATAGCCCGGGGGCTGCATGGAAATGTCCAAATTGAATGCGTACTGGCTTCTGGGGCCTAGGGCCTGAAGAGAACATTGTTCCATTAGAGACTTCTTCAGTGCACTGTCTGGGGCTGTGTCCCATTTGGGACATAACCTGGATGCAGATAGAGAACAAGAACCCAAGCACCACCACCACCACCACCACCACCACCGGATTGACCCATGGTTAAAACACCAGGCTGGAAGAGGTACACACACAAACCATGCGCACTTTCTCACACCTGTACACCCTCCCATAGTGACAGCCAGGAAAGCCAGAGAGGAGGTGGTTCGATGATTGTCCATTGGTGGCGGTACAGTATAGTGGTTTGTGGTTCTTTGGGCTCACCTATCACTGCAGGAGCCACTCGGGCCCCTGGCGTGCTGTGCCCCGGGAGAGGAGGAGGTGGAGGAGCCTGAGGACCAGGAAGTGGAGGAGGGGGTGGGGGAGGGGCTCCGGGGGGAGCGGACATTGGCGGGACTGAAACAAGTGCGTCAGAACCGCTCCGTTAGTGACTGATTGGGGGTTCAAGCTGGTTGGCAATGTTGGTGTTAGGTACCATTTTACAACACTTTTACATACAATTAACACATTAATTTTCATACAACAACCCCTTTGGAAGAAAGAGAAGGTTAGAGACACACACACTGCTGTGGTTATATAGTATGGATTGAGGGTTACCATGGCGACAGGCTTACAGACAACTCTAGTCTTGCTGGCCTGATATCCTGTCACTAATATCCAGCTCCTCTCTCTCTCTCCATCTCCTTGCTCTACCTCAACAGGCCAAAAGGACACCTCATCTCACACTTCTAAACTCCATGTTCCATTTCCAACTAGAAAACAACCGGTCGTTTTCTATGCTCTTTACCATTGAGCCACCCTAATACAGGATGGCCTGTTTACACAGCGAGAGAGAGAGAGAGAGAGAATCTCAGAACACAATAGGTCTTTATGAGCAGTCTGTCTGGTAAGATTAGCTTTGTTCTAAATAACCCCTCTCACTCACTCAGTCCTCCAGCAGCACAACTCATTTACACTTAGTTTATATTTTCCCCTTGTGTGATGTGAGTGTATGTGTTCTGTGCATTTTCTGTCTGTGCTAGTACACACTTGACTTCATGATATGGATTTTCAATGAGAGAGTAGTATATGTGTTTATGAATGAATGTTTCTGGTGTAGTCACAATGCATACACACAGGTAGACACACAGAGAGAGAGAGAGAGAGAGTGAGCGAGAGAAGATGGTGGCTTAGGAGAGATAACACATCAAGATTCCAACATCCACAGCATACTTGACCCCGTGTTCCTATACAGTACAGTTAACTCCCGCTCACCTGGTCCAGAGTTAGGAATGGAGGGCGTAGGCACAGCGATGGGAATGCCAATACTGCTGCTCCCGCTGTTCTCCCTGCTGCCACTACCCCCACTGCTACCACTAGAGAGAGGGAGAGAGAGAGAGAGAGGGAGAGAGAAAGGGAGAAAGAGAGAGAGAATATAAAATGTATTCAGGGCAACCCGCAGAGGCGACAGCCGGTATGCACGTATGCCCATGTCCTATTTAAAATTCTACACGGCAACCGTTCAGTCACAGGGAAAGAGAAAGCTTTTAAAAAAATATCATACCATGAAAAAGCCCTTCAGTACTACTACACCATTTATATTGCGTTTATCAAAATCTGTTTGGAGGACATATTTACATTTATCAAGAATTTCAGATTGACATTACATACAGCAGATATATTGTGGTCAATACAGTACATCTACAGTGAGTACAAAACATTAAGGACACCTTCCTAATATTGAGTTGCACGCACAACAAGTGACATCAATAAGGGATCATAGCTTTCGCCTGGATTCACCTGGTCAGTCTATGTCATGGAAAGGGTGTCCTTAATGTTTTGTACACTCAGTGTATACCATAGGAGATGCATTATGTCAAAGCCAGCCGATAAGCCCTGTCTTGCCCTGCAGCTGACCTGGAGGCTGTCAGATCAATGGTCTGGCTAGTAATCCCGCCCCCCACCCACCTTCCTCCCTCCATCCCTCCATCTCTTCAACCCTGGCCCAGATCCTGCTCCCTACCCTTCCCTGCCAGTCTAGCCTGGGCTTCTTTGGGGGGGCTGGCAGCAGGGGGTCCCGTCACCGTGAATCACATTACAGGGGCTCAGTTCCACCTAGAAGGATGGGAGGGGAGGAGTCAGGGGTCTACTATGACTATGAAATCCAGTGAGGCTGAGAAAAGGGGAAGATAGAGGGGTTTATGTGAGATAAGAATGCACATCTCCCAGCCTGTCTGCCTTTCACTGTTAGTTCTGTCTTGCCATCCCTTTCAGTAGCTGAAATTAAATCACCTCTTTCTCAATCTTCTCTCTCTCCCTCGTCTATAGTGCTCCATCTCTAGTTCCATCCTACGCTCGTCTGTCTCTCAGCCTCTCGTTTCGGTCTCTAGCCCAACCACATCGCTAGTGATCAAATTTCATATAAATCAGACCACCACAACACAGAGTTGGTGAAAGCTTGACTCCCACCATGCAGGCGCACACATACACACTTATTGAATCAGGGCTCAGGCAGGTACAGATGGCAGAGACTGATGAGCTGAGTGAGTGAGTGTGTGTCTGTGTGTGGGAGGTATTAAGAGAGCAGATAGGACAGAACAGCAACACACAGTCTGTCTCTGGGTCTGAACAGTTCCAGGTCAGGGAGAGGATGAGTACACCAGTGGTTGCTCTATATCACTTCGGATGAGATTACACAAGGATCCAGGTTTTTGAATGTACTGCAGTGGTGCACAACTCCCAACCTAGAAGGCTGCAGTATGTTCGTTTTGCTGCTCCATAACCCTTAACCGAGGTTGATTGAGTTTATGCTCCTCCATAACCGTAAAAGTCTGATATTGTTTGAGCAATTAAAGTTAAGGTGAAATCACCTGGTTTGAAAGACCTTCATTGGTTGCTGATAGACGGGCAAGGACAAAAAGCAGCAGTCTTACTGGCAGTCTTGGTGTGTTGTATTGAACACAATTTATTGTACATATGTATGATATTTCGTGAACTATTTGTCCTGCAGTATTGATGTGTGATAACATGTCAAATGAGACTAAAGCATTTTATAACCATATCAAATGATGGTTCCTAATTTAGTATGCAGCACCACCTGCGTCCACATCTACTCATCTAAAACAGGGCAAACCTGGCTACCTGCTGAAGATGCACTCTCCCATGACTCAATGGGAGAGAGGGAGAGTGGGAACAAGCAAAAGAGAGAAAGAACAAAGAGGAGAGAAAATAGCAAAGTAAGGGAACGGGAGTAGCGTGTGCCAAAATGATAGAGGAAGAGGAGAAAAAAAGAAAAGTGATGTAATATTTATGACCATTTCAGTCAGCAGCACAGCCTTCTTAACTAATGAAGCAACTTTAAAATCACTCGTAACTCATATCTCAGCTCTCACAGCGTGGCTTTCTGACTGACACATTTCAGCTAATCGTGGCAGGGGTCTAAATGTACAGAGGACTTAGGATTTCGAAGGACACTTTACACCGCAGGCTTTGAGGAACATTCATTCGCAAATGTCTGAAGCCTTCCAGGTCTTGTCAGTTGAATGTTGGATTTACAGTATTTGGGAGAGGGAGGTGTGAAAGCACATTAAACTGATAAACTAAAGTGAAGAGATTATAAATATTTGTAAGACATAGGGGATACAAATTATTTGGGGAGGGTTCCTTTTGTCATATCCATGTTAGCACACAGAGGCTGTGGGAGAGACATTTAGAGCTGTTGAGTAGGACAATAATGAAGAACACAATAGTGTGTGTGTCTATCCATCTGTCTGCATGCAGGTGTGTGTCTGTGTGCGTGTGTGTGCGTGTGCGTGTGCATTAGGGCCGGGACGATACCAGTACCGTGATACTGGTTAGTATCGTGGCAATTAAACACAAAGTGGATTTAACTTCTTCAGGAAAACAGCCCTAATGTCGGAAACAAACATTATTTATTTTCCAAGCTATAGCACACAATATTTTACATACAGCAGGTTTTAAAGGACCAAAGAGTTTGGTCTGCTTCGTGTAAAAAAAATATATTGCGATACTGGTATCGTCACATTTTTACATTTTTGTCATTTAGCAGACGCTCTTATCCAGAATGACTTACAGGAGCAATTAGAATTAAGTGCCTTGCTCAAGGGCACAGACAGATTTTTCACCTAGTCGGATCAGGGATTCGAACCAGCGACCTTTCGGTTACTGGCCAAACTCTCTTAACCACTAGGCTACCTGCCTCCCTAGTGTGCATGTTAGTTACCTGTGGGTTCTTTGTCTCTGGTTGAGCGATGCAGTGCGTCCAGGGCTGTGCTGGCTGCCTAGTCGAGCAGGGCTGGTCATGTAGTCGTTGGGCACTGTGGGCGGTCTCACCGGCTCTAGAGTTTTATAGGGCGTGTTGCGTCTGTCAAAGTCAACCAAAGACAGAAAGGAGGAGATAAAAGGAGAATAAGACCAGAATGAATCATAATGCATGAGAATCAGGGGTCCATTCAATTTTACATGTACGTTTTAAAAACATTTTTTAGAAATGTTTATCTAACAAATAGGTGCCCTTCTTTGTGAGGCATTGGAAAACCTCCCTGGTATTTGTGGTTGAATGTGTGTTTGAAATTCACTATTAGACTGAGGGACCTTACAGATAATTGTATGGTTGGGGTACAGAGATGAGGTAGTCATTCACAAATCATGTTAAACACGATTATTGCACACAGAGTGAGTCTATTCAACTTATGTGACTTTAAGCACATTTTTACTCCTGCACTTATTTAGGCTTGCCATAACAAAGGGGTTGAATACTTATACTTATTGACTTCAGCTTTTCATTTTTTATTAATAAAAGGAAGTTACCTCCTAAAATGTGAAAGTTTAGTTGGAATGCAATAGAATGCAATGCACGATCAGGGGCGGACTGGACATCTGGCATTCCTGGCAAATGCCAGATGGACTGGTCTATTTCTAGCCCCAGTGGGCCTGTCTACCTTGGGGTTTTTGCACAAAATAATATTTATCTGGCTCATAATAGGGGCCTCAAGGAAAAACAGAAATGGGCCGGTGTGGAGGCCTCAAGGAATAAAATGGACCGGTGTGTTCCCAGTCCGCCCCTGGCCACGATGTACATTGGCGCCCAACCCCACGTGTAAATGTACATGCACAGCATACCAACAACATAGTAACCTTTCCCACAACCTTTAAATGACCATGGCCTCAACAAACTGAAATGCTCTATACAGTAACAGTCAGTGAAAATCTGCACAGGACCATTTCAAATCCAACTTATCTATTCAGCTGGATGTTCCACAGCAGTGACTAAAGCCCAGAATTAGTGCCTGCTTAGTGATACACTGTTACTTTATATAAAATATCAGGACGTGACTAACTTTGTGCACCGGCTAGGATTCCAAATGCCCTGCCTTCTAACATGTTGGCTCAATTAATAGTTGAGATAAAAAGTGATTCATTCATAAAAATAAAAAAAGGACATCTTACCCTAGAGTGCCACGTCCCGATATCGGCCCTGTTATGGGCGGCGGGCTAGGCGGCTTCTGTGTCGGCGGATTGGTCCTCGATAGTGTTCCTCCTCCTCTGATTGGCTGATTATTTCCATGCTGCTGTTGAAAGACAATAAATCAAGAAAGTGTTGTAAGACATTTAACATAGTGGTAGCATAAAGACTAACTAGTATGACAACAGAAAAGTACTAAAGCTGATAGGCTTCCCATATTCAGTATGCTACATCATTACTGAGACATTCTAGCAAATTAGCATAACAGGTCTTTGACCAATTCACAGGGCGGTGGCCAGGTAAAACCCACAGGGACTTCCTGCTAAACATTGTGACGTGTTTATTTCGGACATGGTGTTATACCAAGCACGTAAAACAAAGAGATAAGCAAAGCCAACAACTAAGGCCATGCCACAGCTAACAACTGAATTTTTCATGACTTCCGGGCTATTGTTTTAACAAGAGTTATAAATATTCAAAAGGCGCATACTCATTTTATCTGGAAAACCCATACAGCAGCTACACATATGAACAGCTATTCGACACACAAATGTCAACATATCTAGAACGATACAGTGCCTTCGGAAAGTATTCATACCCTTTGACTTATTCCAAATTTTGTTGTGTTACAGCCTGAATTCAAAATGGATTACATATTTTTTTTAAATTAATCGATCTACACACAATACCCCATAATGACAAAGTGAAAACATGTTTTTAGAAATTATTGAAAATGAAATACATTAATCTCATGTAGATAAGTATTCACACCCCTGAGTCAATACATGTTAGAATCACCTTTGGCAGCGATTACAGATGTGAGCCTTTCTGGGTAAGTCTCTAAGAGCTTTACACACCTGGATTGTACAATATTTGCACATTCTTAAAAAAATTATTCAAATTCTGTCAAGTTGATTGTTGATCATTGCTAGACAGCCATTTTCAATTCTTGCCTCAGATTCTCAAGCCGATTGAAGTCAGCTGTAACTAGGCCACTCAGGAACATCCAATGGCGTCTTGGTAAGCAACTCCAGTGTATATTTGGCATTGTGTTTTAGGTTATTGTCCTGCTGAAAGGTGAATTTGTCTCCCAGTGTCTGTTGAAAAACAGTCCGAACCAGGTTTTCCTCTAGGATTTTGCCTGGGCTTAGCTCGATTCAGTTTCTTGTTATCCTAAAAAACTCCCTAGTCCTTGCCGATGACAAGCATACCAGTGGAGGCTGGTGGGAGGAGCTATAGGAGGACAGGCTCATTGTAATGGCTGGAATGGAATTATTGGAATTGAGTCAAACATGTGGTTTCCATATGTTTGAAGTTTGATACCGTTCTATTAATTCCATTCCAGCCATTACAATGAGCCTGTCCTCCTATAGCTTCTCCCACCAGCCTCCATTGAAGCATACCTATAACATTATGCAGCCACCACCATGCTTGAAAATATGAAGAGTGGCCCTCAGTGATGTGTTGTGTTGGATTTGCCCCAAACATAACGCTTTGTATTTTAGACATACAGTGAAGGGGAAAAAGTATCTGATCCCCTGCTGATTTTGTACGTTTGCCCACTGACAAAGACATGATCAGTCTATAATTTTAATGGTAGGTTTATTTGAACAGTGAGAGACAGAATAACAACAAAAAAATCCAGAAAAACACATGTCAAAAATGTAATAAATTGATTTGCATTTTATTGAGGGAAATAAGTATTTGACCCCTCTGCAAAACAGGAAAAAAAACCTTGTTGGCAATCACAGAGGTCACACGTTTCTTGTAGTTGGCCACCAGGTTTGCACACATCTCAGGAGGGATTTTGTCCCACTCCTCTTTGCAGATCTTCTCCAAGTCATTAAGGTTTCGAGGCTGACGTTTGGCAACTCGAACCTTCAGCTCCCTCCACAGATTTTCTATGGGATTAAGGTCTGGAGACTGGCTAGGCCACTCCAGGACCTTAATGTGCTTCTTCTTGAGCCACTCCTTTGTTGCCTTGGCCGTGTGTTTTGGGTCATTGTCATGCTGGAATACCCATCCACGACCCATTTTCAATGCCCTGGCTGAGAGAAGGAGGTTATCACCCAAGATCGCCCCGTCCATCGGCCCTTTGATGCGGTGAAGTTGTACTGTCCCCTTAGCAGAAAAACACCCCCAAAGCATAATGTTTCCACCTCCATGTTTGACAGTGGGGATGGTGTTCTTGGGGTCATAGGCAGCATTCCTCCTCCTCCAAACACGGCGAGTTGAGTTGATGCCAAAGAGCTCGGTTTTGGTCTCATCTGACCACAACACTTTCACCCAGTTCTCCTCTGAATCATTCAGATGTTCATTGGCAAACTTCAGACGGGCCTGTATATGTGCTTTCTTGAGCAGGGGGACCTTGCGGGTGCTGCAGGATTTCAGTCCTTCACGGCGTAGTGTGTTACCAATTGTTTTCTTGGTGACTATGGTCCCAGCTGCCTTGAGATCATTGACAAGATCCTCCTGTGTATTTCTGGGCTGATTCCTCACCGTTCTCATGATCATTGCAACTCCACGAGGTGAGATTTTGCATGGAGCCCCAGGCCGAGGGAGATTGACAGTTCTTTTGTGTTTCTTCCATTTGCGAATAATCGCACCAACTGTTGTCACCTTCTCACCAAGCTGCTTGGCGATGGTCTTGTAGCCCATTCCAGCCTTGTGTAGGTCTACAATCTCGTCCCTGACATCCTTGGAGAGCTCTTTGGTCTTGGCCATGGTGGAGAGTTTGGAATCTGATTGATTGATTGCTTCTGTGGACAGGTGTCTTTTATACAGGTAACAACCTGAGATTAGGAGCACTCCCTTTAAGAGTGTGCTCCTAATCTCAGCTCGTTACCTGTATAAAAGACACCTGGGAGCCAGAAATCTTTCTGATTGAGAGGGGGTAAAATACTTATTTCACTCATTAAAATGCAAATCAATTTATAACGTTTTTGACATTCGTTTTTCTGGATTTTTGTTTTGTTATTCTGTCTCTCACTGTTCAAATAAACCTACCATTAAAATTATAGACTGATCATTTCTTTGTCAGTGGGCAAACGTACAAAATCAGCAGGGGATCAAATACTTATTTCCCCTCACTGTAACGTTCATTTCTTTGACACATTTTTAGCAGTTTTACTTTAGTGCCTTTTTGCACTAAAGTAACTACATTGTTGATCCATCCTCAGTTTTCTCCTATCAGTCATTAAACTCTGTAACTGTTTTAAATCACCATTGGCCTCATGGTCAAATACCAGAGCGGTTTCCTTCCTCTCCGGCAATTGAGTTAGGAAGGACGACTATCTTTGTAGTGACTATGTGTATTGATACACCATCCAAAGTGTAATTTATAACTTCACCATGCTTAAAGGGATATTCAAGGTCTGTTTTTTTTACCCATCTACCAATAGATGCTTTTCTTTACGAGGCATTGGAAAATCTCCCTGGTCTTTGTGGTTGAATCTGTGGTTTAAATTCTCTGCTTACAGTAAATTGTATGATTGGGAAACATAGATGAGGTAGTCATAAAAAAATAAATGTCCATGCAACTTATTAGGTGAGTTGTTAAGCAAATCTTTACCCTTGAACTTATGTTAGCTTGCCAAAACAAAGAGGTTGAATACATGACTCAATAGCTTTTAATGTTTAATTAACTTCTAAACATTTCTAAAAACATAATTCCACTGACATTATGGGGTATTGTGTGTCAAAGGGGCTGAATACTTACTGACTCAAGACATTTCAGGTTTTAATTTTTAATTAATTTGTAAAAAAGTCAAAAAACATAATTCCACTTTGACGTTATGGGGTATTGTGTGTAGGCCAGTGACACAAAATCTCAATTTAATCCATTTAAAATTCAGGCTGTAACACAACAAAATGTGGAAAAAGTCAAGGGGTGTGAATACTTTCTGAAGGCACTGTATATTGAAATGATGAGTTGTGTTACTAAGCCTCTAATAAGGAAGGCTACAGCGGCAGTTTGACTAGGCCTACTTGTACTATGGATTGCTTTAGGGGGAAATAAGGAATGAAATAAATGAAAAAAGGGAGGTTTTGAAGAGGTTGAAGCGGCTATCAATAATAGACTACTAAAGCAAGATGGGTCATGTGACAAACAGGACTTACCTTGGCTTTGAGCCACTTAACGTGGGTGGAAGAAAAAGAGAGAGAAAGAAAGAGAGAGAAGGTATGTCAAAATCGCCATGTCTGAACGGTAAAAGAACCCAAAGTACAGGAGAGAGACCATTCACCACATTATTTACACTGAGGAAACATTTCTCAAGACCTGGGCAACAGTTGTTCGATGTCATTGCACTGCACCAAAACAGTGTGGGTCCACTGGTTGTTTTTGTACTCTGTGGTGATTCATATCTACCACACCCACAACTAGGAATTCTCACAAATCCATTGGATGTTGCCATTGCGCATTGAAACAGGTATTTCAACACCTCAGCAAAGCAGTCATACAAATCTATTTAGAACTACTGAATAATATATATATTTTTTAAATGTATTATTATAGACATTAAGTAATTTTGTATCTCCCCTACAATGTCCGTTCAGCGCATATGTACAAACTGACTGTCAAACTGTACTGCATCTTTGTGTAATTTTACAAATGTCCATGAACGTTGAACCTATGCACTTATGCTCTAGTGAGAAAAGCAATTTCTCATGGACAAGTGCTCTGTACTTCATGTTTGAGAGGGTCAAATAGAGGAGCAGCTAGTGTTCACACCATGGGACTGCTCTGCACTACGACAAGCACCAAGTCAAGTGCGTCATCAATTATGCAGGCTCCCTATTGGCCATTCAGAGGGCATCACAAGAAACTAGATAAAACAGAGGTTCTTGGGAAGGCCAATGTTAGGTAGATGAATCAAATGTAGTATGATGAAGCTATGTATGGTATGTTCAATCAAGAACATTTGAGAAAGTGACATTGAGGAAACACAAGGGTGCACCAAAGCTCAATTCTGGGGCCTTTTTGTTGTTGAAATATGGCTTATTATTAGGCTACAGGCACCAGTTCTTTCAGACAGGACCATGTTGACTGATTATGGAGGGCGTTGTTATCCCAGTCCAAAACCAATTGGGTTAGCATATCAAACT